TCCAGTCGACAGATGATAATCATTACAATGTGATTTACTGAGTTGTGTTTATGTGCAGTCACTGTCATTTAAAGGCCAGCTCTCTCATTGCTCCATATTTTCTTGTTCTCACTACGTCTGCTTCTTCCTCCCCCAGACGATCACTCCAGGGTGCATCTCTCGTCTCTAGAGGGGGTCCCGGACTCTGACTTCATCAACGCCTCTTTTATAAATGTTTGTACAAGCATATTCAAGAGTCAATGCTGCTCTAAATATGTTGTGGTGCATCCTAATCTCTCATTTTTCACTCTCTCTGTTGCAGGGTTACCAAGAGAAGAATAAGTTTATTGCAGCTCAAGGTAAGGATTGTGCCTTCAATGGCTGCTGTGGTTTATATAACAAACAAACTACCTGAGTTTCAGAGCAATTATTTGTCCTCTTTCTGCATCCATTTCTGTCTCTCAGGGCCGAAGGAGGAAACGGTGAACGACTACTGGCGGATGATCTGGGAGCAGAACACAGCCACCATCGTCATGGTGACCAATCTAAAGGAGAGAAAAGAGGTAGGAGAGCGGGAGGGATAATGTGTGTTTTATAAGATCATACAACAGCTTCTAAAGACACCATATATGTATACGTGTCTTTATTTTTTTATCTGTAAAGTATGTTAATCTGCGCACCTTTTGAAACCTCTATGTATTTTACATAACTATATTTTGTGGAAAAATATTGTCTTTTTTTTTTTTTTTAAATCTGTTGCATTAGTCTTAGCTTTTTTATAATCGTACTATTTTCTTATTTTCATTTTTGGTTACGTATTCTTCTTTCTGTGTCTCTGTATGCAACACTTAAACTAAAGCAAATTCCTTGTATGTGGTAATAAAACTGATTCTGAAATTCTTATGTGAGGGCAAGCATAACTAGTCTTCAAGTCATGAGTCGCCTTAAAGGGACAGATAACCCAAAATGACCTTTAGTGCTATTTATCTAGATTGTTTTTGTCCAGGAGATATGGGTCGTGATGTCTGCCTTTTCTCAAGTACAATGGATCTAGATGGCAAACCAAACATGTTTGAAGAGCATTGTCTCTTTCCAGACATCATGACACAAAAATAGTTACTTAATTGATTTGCCCACAACAAGGTATGTGGATTATCTTGAGTAAACCGGTCATGATTTTTGGAAAGAGACTTTAGCCTGGAGTGGTTTTTTTTGGTGCTTTGAGCACTGTAAGTAGAGGGCCAACTAGTGCCATTATATTGAAGAAGGCAGACATCTCTGCAGCTGATACCTTCATCCCGTCAAAACAATCAAGATAAATACTGTCCCTTTTAACCTCTCTAGTTATTGTGCTAAACACATTCTGTCATAGACACAGCCTAGTTCATTTGTTTCCCATTACTGAATAAATTGAGGCTTGATTTGCTCAATTTTCTATCTTTCTCTCTGTGTTTCAGTGTAAGTGTGCCCAGTACTGGCCGGACCAGGGCTGTTGGACATACGGGAACATCCGCGTGTCTGTCGAGGACCAGATGGTTCTGGTGGACTACACCATCCGCAAGTTCTGCATCCAGCAGGTAATACTTTGTTGGTGTGGGTACCAGGATATATTATGTTTAATTCTGTGTTTACCCTGCACACACACACAGGAAACACTGGTGTTGCTTGTGTCTACAAACATCTTTTGATCACACACTGCAGACTAAAAATACATTTAAGTTTAGATGACACTCACTGTGCCGTGGCTCCGTCTATAACCTGGTTTTATTTGTCTCTCAGGTGGGGGACGTGTCTGGTAAGAAGCCTCAGAGGCTCGTCACCCAGTTCCACTTCACCAGCTGGCCAGACTTCGGGGTGCCCTTCACCCCCATCGGCATGCTCAAGTTCCTCAAGAAAGTCAAGAATTATAACCCTACGTATGCCGGGGCCATTGTGGTCCACTGTAGGTGAGTGCAGCTCAGCTTACACTCTCACTTCTCCTGGTTTGGTTGTGTGTGTTTTTGTTTAATTGCTTTATATTTCTGTGTGTCAGTGCGGGCGTGGGGCGGACAGGAACCTTCATTGTGATCGATGCAATGTTGGACATGATGAACACCGAGAGGAAGGTGGATGTGTTCGGCTTTGTCACCAGGATCAGAGCCCAGCGCTGCCAGATGGTGCAGACTGATGTGAGTCACATGGTCTCTCCCAGTGTTTTCAGAGCCATGATTTCCACTTGTTCCTCACGTCTTCTTCCTCCGCCCCACAGATGCAGTACGTGTTCATCTTCCAGGCGTTGTTAGAGCACTACCTGTACGGAGACACGGAGCTGGAGGTGACTTCTCTGGAGTCCCACCTGGTCAAACTCTACGCCCCCGCTCCTGGAGCTGGCTGCAGCGGGCTGGAGGCTGAATTTAAGGTGCGTGTGATGTTTTCATAGCACTCGAACAAAAACTAAATATCTTAACTGCTACTGTCCCAGGCATTAGAGATCCTTTTGACTCAAAACTGTATTTTTCTAATGTTTATGTCCACTAACATGGCTTGTATCTGTGTAAAATGTGTCACAAGAAAGGTGTTTTCACATTATTCTACTGTGGGTGGAGATGTCTGTACACTGCCCTACAATCTGATATTCATGTCACACACAAACTTGAAAGCTTATTGCTGTCGAATATGCAAATAACTGCAAATGCTGAGAACTTGAGCGCAGCCCAGACTTGTTGGTACAGAGAGGGAGGGTAAGCATTAGAGAAATGGACGTTTTTGCAGCAAACAGTGTAGAGTTAACTGTGTTTGGATGTAAACCAGACCCTGGAGCAATGTCAGTCAGTGGCAGTGACAAGCCAACAAGCTGAAAAACGCTTCAAACTAATTACAGATGCTCACTACTCTTACCTTGCTGATATGTCTTCTAGTTGGCGATTTTGAAAGCATATTAGATGTGCTTCCAGACCCTTTTCAGAGTTTGTTTTTTACTTTTTTTTGTTGGAAAACTATGTTTCAACATATAAATTAATCACGACGGATCCTTTAAAACATATCTGGAGGGGGACTTCAAGTTATCTCTTTTTTCTAGAAGCTGACATCAATCAAGATCCAGAATGATAAAATGAGAACAGGCAACCTGCCGGCCAACATGAAGAAGAACAGAGTCCTGCAGATCATTCCATGTGAGTGATTTATGTGTTTATTATTGTGGCTACACGCAGTGATGAAAGCCATGATGAAAATACAGTTGTATAGCCCCTGTGTTAATGTTCCTCCTTCCAACAGATGAATTCAACAGAGTGATAATCCCAGTGAAGCGAGGAGAGGAGAACACCGACTACGTGAACGCCTCTTTCGTAGACGTGAGTGTAAAAGCTCCTGATCATTTCATTAATGCAAGCAATCGATCGGGTGTTTAAAGTCTGCCTTCCTTCTTCCCTCCCTCCCCCCTGGACATCACTTCCTGTCTGTTCCTGCATGTGGTCACAGGGCTACCGTCAGAAGGACTCCTACATAGCGAGCCAGGGCCCCCTGCAGCACACCACGGAGGACTTCTGGAGGATGATCTGGGAGTGGAGGAGCTGCTCCATAGTCATGCTCACTGAGCTGGAGGAGAGAGGCCAGGTGTGTGTTAGTGTGTGTGTGTGTGTGCAGATACAAACACTGGTATCAGATATCAGAGGCCTGTACTACGAAGCTGGATTTTCGCTTAGCCGGCTGACTTCAGGGAAATCTCGGGCTTTCCGGTCCTACGACGCTGGTTCTCTTTTTAGCAGGCTAGATTTCCATGGTAACTTATGCTGAGCGGCAAACCTGCTCCGGAGCAGGTTAGGTGGCAGGCTAAGAGATCAACTCAGTGAAAGCACTGCCTGCTGACCAATCAGAGCTCCGTGTGCGGAGTTTAAATCGATCAATTCATATTACAGGATAAAGGAAATACAGAAAAACTGCCGTTGCAGGAAAGACGGCCGACAAAAATCAACTGACTGTGTGAACGTGAAAATTAATAGAATATCACCTCCCATCTTCAGAGCAATCTGACTATTATAACATTAGCGTTAAGAAAGCTTACTTAAATATCTGCCACAACATAAGTAACCGGATCAGAGTAACATTACGTACAGTCCGCGGCACTGTGAGTGCAGACGTCGATGTGTCCCATTATCATTCATATCATATCACATCATAATGTATCATATATTTCCTTATCTGAGTCAGCTTCTTGAGCCGTATCTGGCGTGCAACACTCACAGTGTCACATACTGTATGCAGAAGTATTATTTTAAACAACACATTAAGTTGACGAAACACTCGAGTCAAATGTAATTAAAGTCAGATCGTGTCTTAGACGGGGCAGTGATATCATAAACCTGTTAATGTACGCATTCAAACACTTTTTCTTTTACCAGCTGTATTCACCTTGCAGGTGCAGCTATGTGGCTTTTATCCTGGATAAAGTGTTTAAGTCATGGATGTTTAAAGTTTAACTTCTTCATATTTGACTAATATTAAAGTTCACTTTTCATTCAGGAAGTATGACGCTGCGCTGTCAGTACGCTTGGCCGTGTTTGAGATTGGTCGAATGCTCCAAATACCCCCCCTTTCATGTGAACGCGCACCTAACTAGATAGGACACGGCTGGCTTGAGCGATCCACTTGATAACCAGCGTCGTAGGACAGTTTAGCCAGAACGCGTATGTTTTGGATTGGGCCAACCGGCTAACTCAAACATATCCAGGTTAGGTTGAACCAGCTTCGTAGTACAGGCCTCTGGTCATTAACAGGCTTAAAATAGAATATTGATATTAGATCATTTACTCAACGCTGACTTGACGACACCGGACTTGTGTAACATAGTAATACGCTGAAAAATATGTCTTGAGCGTTAATGGGTGCCTAGTTTAAAGACATTTTGAAATATGAGGGACTCAATGGTTTAATCCAACAACAAAGAGTCAAAATAATTCAAATTGAGCATTAAGAAGTTATTTCTAGAAAACAAAGTAGACTATTTACTCATGTAGTTAATGGTTGATGTCATTTTTCTGTCATTTGAGTAATTGTTTATATAAATACATCTTGAGAATTGAAAATGTAGGGTTTTAGACATCTTAGCATGTCGTGTGGTGATTTGACCCTCTGTGTTTTGGTTTCTGCAGGAGAAATGTGCTCAGTACTGGCCCAGCGATGGAGCGGTGGTCTATGGGGACATCTCCATTGAGATTAAAAGGGAGGAGGAGAGCGAGAGCTACACAGTGAGGGACCTCGTGGTCACCAACAGCAGGGTAAGGAGGGACTCCATGGAGCAAGCAAACGCTCCAAATACAAACACAATGCAGGTTCTAACAGAGGGCAGACATGTTTGAATAGTGTAGTCTGAAGCCCTGAATACTATGATACCACAATCTTTGCAACACTAACGCTTTGTTTTGCATCACAAATGATGTATATTCCTTACATTGAGATCGTTATTCACGTTATTGTTCAAAGTGGATGGATTATACATTTGATTTTGTGTTTTTTTTTGTTCCTTAACTGTTATGGGAAAAGGAAGCATGAACTATACAGAGCTTTTATTTAATTAAGATTTGAATTGTGTAGGCTATGATAACCATATATTTTGGCAAATTGAATTACTTTAAACTATCTGAGATCATTTGTATTCAATTAACCACGATCACGATTACGATGTTAATATCAAAATATTCAAGCAAATGAAGGGATGAAATGGCCTGTTGGCTGATTCAACAGGGTGTAAGCGTAAATGCTAAATTCCTGTGAGAGAGAGAAGAAGAATCCGTCAGAAAATCCTAATTCTTTTCGCGAACTTCGGGTCAAATTCCAGGCCGGAAAAAGACCAAAATGAGGAATTTGCAAACACATTGGAAAACCCAGAGGTTCCCAAAGGACTGAATGAATTTCAGTTTGACTCGTATATGTACGCAGAGCTTTGTGGAAATAAAGCTACTTATCTCTTCTTTGTTTTCCTCGTCTATTCTTACAGGAGAACAAGGCTCGAGCGGTGCGTCAGTTCCATTTCCACGGCTGGCCGGAGGTGGGCATCCCCGCGGACGGGAAAGGCATGATCAACATAATCGCTGCGGTGCAGAAGCAGCAGCAGCAGTCTGGCAACCATCCCATAACTGTGCACTGCAGGTAAACACACACAAACACACAAACACACACACACACACACACACACACACACACACACACACACACACTAGCGTACCAGTGTACCAGTGTACCAGTGTAAGAACAAATGGGAAACAAATCCCTCGGCCCTTAAGATGATGATATCGTTTTATTTGTTTCTATATAGCTGTTGCAAACGGAAATGCTGCTGGCAATAAGAGTGTGTGAGTGTGTGTCTGGGAAATTGTCACGCTATTATATCACAGGAAAAAACAGCTCAAGAGAATTGTTCTCTTCTTCCTTGTGACATTTGAACTGCTCCCAGAAATGTTGCTACGCTCCTCATGTGCTCTCAGAACAATGCCTCTTGTGTGTGTGTTATTTCTGAACATGCTTACTACAGGGTGTATATTGAGGTTTACATTGTTGCTTGTGGTGTGTGTGTGTGTGTGCGCACAGTGCTGGTGCGGGCCGGACGGGGACTTTCTGTGCGCTGAGTACAGTCCTGGAGCGGGTGAAGGCGGAGGGCATCCTGGATGTTTTCCAGACGGTGAAGAGCCTCAGACTGCAGAGACCACACATGGTGCAGACACTGGTGAGGGCCCTTCATGGAAAACTACTTTGGATTATTTCATCATAGTGGATTGACAACAATTCATATTTGAAAAAAAAGACATTGAAAAAGTGTAAGCTTTCTTCCTTTGAAAAATGAACCTTGGTAAAATGTGAGGTAGCCCTTTTTTCCGTCCATAAGCAACAGCTTGATTAATTAACCAACAGCAGTATTTTATAATATTTGTTTGTATATCTGTCACAGACAAAAATCTCAACAAAAATGTGGGTCTTTTCGTTAGGATTGGCAATCAAATTTGGCTCTAACCAAAAAGCATCTTTTTAAGATTTTGGGAGAAGTTTAAGAATAGGATTTATGTCTTTAAACATTAATAAACAGTAGAAAGCTTAACAATACATTTGGAGGGTCAAAGGAATAGTTCAACATGAGAGGAAACGCTAACCCTTTTGCAGAGAGATGGGTAGAAAGATTGACTAATTCAATATGAACCTCGTTAATTACACAATTTGTCCCCAAGACTATACATGTATGAGGATATTAGCACATCCTTTCTACTCATTGGTCTAAAGTCTTGAAATCTAATGTTGACAAACTATGTGTAGGTTTCTAACAGTATGACTTGAAACGCTTGGATCACATGAAGAATCATACTTCTTATCAATGGTCAAAGTCAGGATCTTTGAAAACATGTGGAATCTTTTTTAAGGCTTCAAATATCTAAATATCTTTAAGTTTCCTACATTTAAGTAAATAGCTAGGGAAAGGTTCCTAAAGACTAAATAAAGAGTGATACGTTTTTAGCAAGTTTTCGCATTTTCAGTTGCGGGCATAAAGGGGTTAGTTAGCTTTAGTAGATCGGTGGATTGGTGGTTATTTGTTACGTTAGAGTTGATATCCACCTTTATTTGACATATAAACGCAAACTGAGAATTTAGAAATGTTCCCAATGCAATAATACTCAAACTACAGCTGTGTGATTGTACTGCTGTTAGCCGTTGTACAAGGGATAAACAAACTTCCAAGATTTCAAAGGTTAAATGTCATATACACAACTAAAGTATAGTTGGGTCACGGGGCCCTCAACAATGCAATATGAATATATACAAGACATTAAAGCAATTAAAAGCAAACAATAACAATAGTGCAAGCTCAGGAGACTGAAATGTGACAGGGTTTTATTTTTTTTAATGAAAATGTATTATCACCATTGGTAGTTCCAACTGAAATAACTCTTCCTCCTGTGCCTAACCCTAACCCCCCCCCCCCCACACCTCTGCAGGAGCAGTACGAGTTCTGTTACAAAGTGGTCCAGGAGTACATCGATGCCTTTTCTGACTACGCCAACTTCAAGTAGGGACCTGCCGTGGATGGATGTCCGATACACTTCATATGCACGCACCAGAACACACGCACACACCGCCACGCAGAAATCTGCAACCTCCCATCTGATGGATTTAAAAAAAAAAGAAAAAGACTCATCACAAGTTGATCTGTGGATGGGAGGGACTGCCTGCAGGGAAAGGGACAGAGGCCCGGAGGACAGGACAGGGCAGCGCAGTGGGACAGAGAAAATAACTGAGATGCCTTCTTGAATATTTTGTAATATTGGTCTTGTTAATACAGCCCTTAACCCCTTATTTGCTTCCCACCCCCCCCTTCATATGTACATATACTTACTGTGTTGCATCTTATTACTTTGATTTCAGACACAGTTTTGAGTTTGGCTGCATTTTGGGGTGGCACCTGTAATGTATTTTATTGGTATATATAAATATATATGAATATAAATCTAATGCTTTGGAGGCTAATGTCAAAGAAATCCAGAGTCAAGGTAATGAGGTTTAGATTTCTTTTTACTTTATAGGGACAGAGGGACATGAAGCCAACAATGTTTTACATTGTTGGCTTGTCCAGAGCCGCGCTGTAGCAACATGAGTTGTAGCAGAACCCTGAATATTTACAGACTAAACCTGGTCTGTGTTTCACTCCTACACACACACACACACACGCACACACACACACACACACACACACACACACACACACACACACAGAGATATGTTTCCATCTATCGAGCCACTTAAATTTCTCCCCTTTAAAGTTTCAGAGGTTCAAAGGTCACTCACGATTGGAGTGAGGTAGCTCATTGACTCAGGTTGACACACGAAACACACACTGAATACCAGGAGCCATTCTTTCTTTTGAATGTGTGTGTTTGTTTGAGCTGCAGCTGAAGACACTGTCTTCTATCTGCAGAGTGCCAAAGTCCTTCTCTCCCTCGCAGAGTCCAGTAGCTCTAACAATATCTAGACATTCACTAAAGCCAGTTTACTGTTTAATGATCTGCTACCAACACTCTGCTTTAACAGGAAATCGGGCTTCTTGTTTTAAAGGTACGGTCTGTTTCAGTATCTGCAGCGTTGTTGATCATGCTGACAAGCCAAATCACTCCATTATTGCATCAACAGATCATATACCCGGCATATTTCTTTTCTAGTTTACAGACGCACGTCAGTATTTCTTGTAGATTGTATTGAGCTTTTTTTTCTATATGGGTTTTATTTTGAGTCTGCCTGAATGAACGATTTCTTTTATATCAGCCTCACATCACTACGCTGTACTGTCACACTTTTAATTCCCTTTTTTTAAGTTTTCCCACCATGAACACTGATGCTGAAGAATGTCTCTTATAATTTGAATGCTGTTGCTAACATTTTCCTTTCAAAATGGATACTTTGTTACTTAAATAGTGGTGGTGCCATGCCATGTTTGCTCAGATTTTATTTTTGAATGGCTGTCCTGTGAGGACACTTGATTACGGTGTGGGTTTCTTTTCAGATGAGGCCACAATTGAGGCTATGCACTCAGTTGTGATGGATATTGTCAGTTAACCGCTGGGCTTCGGGTCACGTAATGTCAACTCCCGTCAGGAAATCAAAGTTCAAAGATTTAAAACCCCAGCAAAGGAGAGTACTCCAATATCATGCCTTGCCTGGATTTTAACAGATTTTATTGCTATGATATTAAAAAAATATTTTCCAAGCTATTTCAATGTTTTTAAATGTAGATTTTAACTATGAAAAACCTCTTTTCGTTCACAATTTGCAGCCCACACTAACGGTCGAAATCACACTAACAGACCCGGATTGAATGACTTTTCTTAACGGAAGGAGCCCAATCAGTACTCATTTATTGATGGTGGACAACGTCATTAAAAGTACATGCTGAATCTTTTTTAGGAAGGGTGATTTGCATCAATGTTGATAGTTTGAACACTCATGCACTATTTGCACCAAAAGCAAAGCCCTTAAGATTACAAAACCAAATGACAGATAAGGTTAGGATGATGATTTGGCCTTGATATTGAAATATAAGAACCTTGTTCAGGTCTCAAAGCTGTAAGGCCCCTGCAGGGACATAAAAGTAGATATTTTTGAAATGTTGGCTGTTTGTGCATCGTCATTTTCCTTTCAGGTCTTTTTTCCCCCCAAAGCATCACAAGTGCCCGCACTCCTAGTTAGGTGCCGTTATACTTTTCATTTATCTACTTTGTCACATATTGGGTCTTTCATTAAATAGAGAAGGGGATGCCTTTTGTTTAGCTAATCTATCTGTGGGTTTATTGTGTGTGTGTTTGGATCAATGCGACTTTGAATTTGACAGCAAAATATGACACTGTGCCATCCCATGAGACCCACTATTTTACAGATCTAGTGAATATCGAAAGAAAGTGCCTGACTTGTAGTTTAAAACTAACCTGTACATATAATTTGTGATGCAACCGTCATCCTAAAAGCTGTCCTGAGCATTTTCCTTACTCTGATGACAAAACTTTATTTGACAAATCAATAGGGCCAGAAATAAGACATGGTTGGTCATCCTTCACATTCCCTGTAGTCACAAATACGTAGACTCCTCAATTGTGCAGTTGAAACAAATGTTGAGGCCTCTTTTAAAATAAACATTTTATTTGAATGGCCTCATATCATTCCATATCAATGACATGTGGTATCCATGACAAGTAATCAATTGTGGGTACCCAAATGTTCAACAAAAATCGTTAAGTTTTTCCCCATCACAGTTAAATTGCATCTTTTATGCATCTTCAGCGAGGGAAACCAGACAGTTGTCCCTGCTCCACGTCCCTTTTATCTCTGAGCTTTTCCCCAGTGGAGTGAATGCCCCTGAGAAATTTAAATAGGTCTCCATTTCTAAATGGTCTGACTTGAGGAAGATTAGAGTCCAACTTTTTCTCTTCTTCTTTCCACCTTCTTATGTCCTTTATGTCCTTGTCCACTCACTGCTGTCCACTTATCGCACCCTTTCCTTCCTTCACTTTGTCCTTGGCCCATGTGTCCCCAGTGGTCACAGCCCCACTCCCTTTTGTACATAATGTAAGGTTATTTATATTTCATTCCAGCCTGCTGCCTTGCTTATTATATTTTCTTCTCCCCCCTTCTTTTTTTCTTTTTGAAGAATAAAAAGATGTATATTGAACTGTATCGGGACCATTTTAAAAATGTATTGGAGATGTTTCGTTTTGGCCATTTTTAATTTGGTATAATTGTCTTAAGAAAATCCTATTTTTTAATTTGCCAATGTTTGTTTCTAGTGTTTTGTTATTCAACATTTGAATATATGTATATATAATTATATATATGACAAAATTATATATAATTATATAATGCCAAATGGCCTTTCTAAGCAAGATACTGTTCAAACCTAATAAAGTGCTTGAGATTTTATCAAGTGTGTGTATTTCTTATGTCTTTAAAAGCTAAATGTTAGTAACACGTCAGACACTCATGCTCCATCACGACAACCTGAGGATCATTACAGCTCACTCCTCGATGAAGACTATAATTGTAGATGTGCAAAAGAATTGCCGATCGTTCATGTACTTTATAGATCAGGCGGTCCTCCTGAGTGTTGCTCTTGAAAGGTATCAATCAGTGTGTAACCCTTCACCCCCATCAAATATGAATGAGTGTTTTGCTCTGATGAATCAAGGAATCATTTAGGGTTACTGGTGAAATGATCGAGCGGAAAGTAATACCTGTTAAACATTTAGGAAAAGATCATTATTATATTAAGGTAGTATCACTATTAAATAGATGTGGTATTAGTTTGTAGGCTTTAATCCACCAGCACTGCGACACTGAATAGCTTAATTGTAAATAGAAATGGAAAGGTATAATCCTAAACATGAGTCTACTCTTCACAAAGACTAATCAGCCAGTTGAATAATGTCTTCTGAGGTCCTTTCTATAGTCGTTCTATAGTTTATAGAAATGTAGGATTTAATCATTTGTGCAAAAACATTTTTTTAAATTCAAAGTCTGGAAATCTCTGCATTTGCTGCTTTGATATTAAGCATTCCTTTTTTTATTATGTCTCTTGCCAGTTCCTTAATCTTATTTAGTATCCCTTTTGAAGCTCAAAGGAATTTGCTTTGGCGTATAATGGTGCATACATAAACAGAGTAAGAGAGAATACAAATGGAAGAATAAGAGCAAATATAATATCTGAAAAACGTAAAATAAACAATACAATCAAAGGGTAATGCAATAAGAATTATTTGCAAACATATATATTGTAATATAAAAGCTGTGCAGTTTTAAAGTAGTATTATTGTCCAGAAAATGTAGAATTGTGATTGTTAAATATGATCACAAAGATGTTACTTATATATATATATATGTAAAACGTCCATTGGAGGATATAAGGGTCTGTGTCCGTGGGGGTCCCAGAATTCTTGATGAGGCCAGCAACTGATTTCTTTTATGCAGTATTTCACTATTTGTAATGGTAATTGACAAAGCTCTTACTGTCAAGCCCAATCTGGTTAGGTTTGCGTGGAACAAATCAAGAGAGTGGTAATTTATGTCAGTCATATATTTAGACTATTATAAAGTATACAAGCTTGATGAAATATGAGTTGAATGAAAGCTGTGAAAACTCAGAACGGAGTAAAAGCTGACAGGATGTTCAAACTAGACATAAATAGAACGTGACAACAAAATTACATTTGCAGATAACAATAAAGCTTCTCTATCCCTGTATGTTTAATTTGTAAATGTTAATTCCGAGACTTCTGACGGTTATTCCTCTAGCCTCACATTGACAGGTGGTCTCATCAGTGACGCATGTTGGAGTTTTCTCTCTTCAACCAATCCCTGACAGCACCAGCCTCGTGTCTCATCACTCAGGCGGGCAGCTGACCTGAGTCAACAGCAGCAGCTCGTCACGCTGTCACTCACTTCCTGAGTCAGAGCTGCTGCTGCATGTAAAACTCTGAAAAGGAAATACCTCCTCTAATTGAGATGGATCTCATCAGGGATCCACTGTTTGTTCCCCTGTCATCAGATGCCAGCGACTGAGAGGGTCATTCGGGTTAAAGTGAGGATGTGTGGTGGGTCGATGCGGTCAAAACGACATCGACCTTGAGAGAGGAAATTGAAACTCAAGAGTTTTTCATTCTGACAAAGACTCCTGTAATTGGGATCTGAGCAATACGGTTGAATACGTTGAGCAACTCGAATGCAATCATCCTTTTAAAATCAATTGGAAAAATCCTTTTTAGTTTTACCTTAAATAGTCTGGTTGATGGTTATTCATTATGTTTTCCCCTTTTTTTAAAATTCTATGATCTTTTGTTTCCGTTCACTAATCTTATAAATTAATTTTGCTTGGTTGTTGACCTTAAACATTTAAATGTGGATTCATTAATCTCAATGGTTTGAATCCCCATGTATAACATGTTTCTTTTATCATTTATTTTGCTGCTATATTGTACTGCCATGTGGTAAATACTTGTGTATGCTGCTCTTGCTCTTTTGCACTTTTTGCATATCATGTATTTTGTTTTTGCTATGTTTGTAAAATGTAATTTTCTTAAATGTTTAATGTGAGGGACTGCGGATGGAAATTAGCTCAAAGCTAAATCTGGCACTGTTACGCTTGACACATTTTCATGTTTTAAGTGTTCATTACTGTGCATTGTCCCTGCTAAATAAACGATTAAATAAATAAAATGTCTTGTGTTTTTTGTTAACACTATTCACTGTTTGTTTCCTTCCAACTACGTAGACTGAAATGTGCAATATAAATAAAGTTGTATTAGCTATTAGATAAAGATCATTCTTGGCAGGGCCCAGATTTCAGATTTCAGAAACTTTTGAGCCCCAGTATTTCCTAAAACTCATTTTCATGTACACAATTTCACGAGTTATGTCGAAGTGGCCATGTTCTTCCACTTGTAGAATGTATGCAGTGAATTAACCATTGAGACATTTTTCAGTTTTTAGGATTTCTCTTAAGAATGTGCTTGAAATACTTAGATGATACAGTTTGACTTTAATCTGCACATTGAATTATTTGTTTTGTTATTCAGCCAGGGTGTCAGTATTTGGACGTGGATACGTGTGATGCAAGTGAGCAGACGTACATCTCAGGGGTGTCAGAGCATGTTTGCAGGGGATAATTACAATTGGCCATGTCTCCTGGACCTCTTGTCCCCGGGGGGCGTTCCTTTCACCGCCGGGGAACAGAGGGGCCACAGGGGTCAGAGAGGGGCGGGGCCATTAGGGGCTGATAATGGCCATGTGCATTTGGAGGGGTACATATATATTCAGGAGGAGTATGAGGGTGAAGAGAGTCTTTACAGTCGTGCACTTGTGAAACTGTGAGATATCTTCAACAGCCGAACTACTGAAGGAAAGCTGAGGGAGCTTCTGTCAGGACGTCAAGGGACACCTGTAGTGATACAGTTGTGAGAATAAGGTAAGGACACTTTCTTTTGTACTTTTATATACTTTTACTGCTTTCTGTTTACTCTAAATTATACATTGTTATTTTTGGAATATAACAATGAATCTTGTTAGAGACTGAGCTTTAACTCCTCTCTGTGCCTCTTAATTGGATTTTAAGCTTAGTGATTTTCAGAAGTTTAACAATAGGCCTGAAAACTCTGTATATATTTCATCTATAGCATAATTACTAAAAAAGGATATTATGGCAACATTTATTTTAAGGGCAATACATTAGTCCCTAAAATGATTCTTAAAATGTTACAAATGTTTAACCGTATTTGGTTTATTGATGGTAAGCAAGTAATTGAAATTTGACTACAGTTAAATAAGCTCAAATGTAAACATGAAATGTAAAAGGAAACTTGCAGTAAAATTCTTGCAAAGAAAGATTCAAATTGTTAATCAACAAATACTCAACTTGTATTGATATTACGGCTAAATATATACCATTTCTGGTGACAGGCAGCTTTACTTTCTACACAGCATGAACTCGTTTTATACATTTGTATTGCAGCAAAATCAAAATTGCATTTACATCTTAAAGTGTTCGCTACAGAAATGCTATTCCAAATGTAAATGATGGAACCTGATAAAGTATTTAAACACTTTGCAATTTGATTAGATTTTCTAAACCAGATACCAAAGGCTCAAATATAATACTCTCTTGTGGTCAGAGCTAATGGAGTCTTTTCCTTCAGGGGGAACATCATGAGTGTGTCTCGGCTGGTGTTGCTGCTCGGGGTGCTTCTCTGCGTCGGGGCTCAGCTGTCCAGCGCCCAGCACTGGTCTCATGGCTGGTACCCCGGAGGCAAGAGGGAGCTGGACTCCTTCAGCACGTCAGAGGTCAGGATCAGAGTTAGTTTTATCATTCACCCAGCATTTCCTGTTGAGAATAAAAATAACCTTTACCTCTTTACTCTTCTTTCATGTGCAGATTTCAGAGGAGATTAAGCTGTGTGAGGCCGGAGAATGCAGCTACTTGAGACCCCAGAGGAGAAGCATACTGAGAAACATTATTGTAAGTAAACAGTTCCTTATTCAGGTTGTATAAAATACTTTTATTTGGATTCATTCGTCTTGTAAGAAGGGGTCTTCACATATACACAGATTCCCCCCCTGTTACAATAATGTATACATAGCTACACACTGTACATAACAACAAAGAGTATGCGATGGCTGTATCATTAAGTGTGTCTGACTCTCATGTCATGCTGTATTTCTCTCCACAGTTGGATGCCTTAGCAAGAGAGCTCCAGAAGAGAAAGTGACAGACTTCCACTCTACACTGCTTTTCTACCTGTAATGACCTTATCCTTCTTCGCCGTCTTTGTCTTGACGTGAAAAAAAAATTATGTTGATCCTCTGATCTCGTATTTAAGTTATTTTCCAACATTACATGGATATCACCTGTGACGAACGTTGAAATTGTAATGTCCTAAAATAAAGTATTTATTTTGATATGACCTTTTTTTGTGAATAGTAAATGGAACTTAGGTTGGTGAAGAAGTAGCAAAACAATATTAAAATCCATGAGGAGTGCGTTCAATTTTGATTTTTTTGGTTTAAGGTTCTTGGTATTACATGCTGGCTCAGTGTCTTGGTTTGCTGGTACACTGAGCAAGAATGCACGGAAGGCATATTGACCACAATCCAAGGATATTAGTTGTTTTATTTACATTTTTACTGTAGATTTCTTTTTTAAATAATGTATTTATTTTTCTCATTTATCAAATATATTTTGATAATTGTTCATGTTTTATCTCAGTCATGTGTATCCGATACATTAAATCAAGTGTGGTTCATTTTTATTTCTTATTAATAAATACATTTAAAATTGACCTTTTTCTGAGAATTGTCCGTTGAATCATCAGTCAATGTAAATTCTGTATGTATAAATAAGGGAAGTAACCAACAAAAATCAACAATACCATTACAAAAATAGAAAGAAAAAAATCAGGGGCTGAAAATAAACAATTTCAAAATATTAAATCGCTTTTTTTGTCTCATAATCATAGTGTATCTACCGATAATTGGCCTACGAGTTTAATCTAATAGAAAACATACGTAAATCGGGTCTTGGGAATCGTTCCCTGATGTGTAGGAAATGTGTTAAGGTAGGGTAGGTAAATTTGAGAAACCGGCTCGAGATCGCTAGAATTTGAAAATACACAACCGGAGAAAATCTGCCACTTCCTTATAGAGCCCCTCCTCCAACACACACGAACGCGCACATCACCAATGAGGGCACGAGATAAGTTTGTGCACAGATGGAAGGCTGACAGGCAGGTAGGTCATCCAGTTATTTTAGCCGGGCCGGCTAAAATGATTGGTCGTACTTTTTACAGTATTACGTCTTCCACAGATGACATTTTTTTATGGATTTTTTGTCAAAGCACTTAAGATATTCATTGCTATCGGGATGTTAAGAGCATTCCATGGAATATAACAAAAAGTGTATCTCGAGCCGGTTTCTCAAACTTACCTACCCCACCTTTAACTGCAAGTATAAGATTTACATATTTTTGTTTGCGTATTATTGTATTTTAATTCAGTGATAATGTGTTAAAGCATAATGTATATAGAATGTACAGTCTTGTTATAAACATACAGATATTGTAAAGTGAATTTCTGTAAACACAGGATGGTCTCCATAATACCGTGACGTCACTGCGCCCGCACCAAGCAGGCAGCTTAGCCAAAACATGGACGACAGAAGTGTCTGTACTCCGCACCTTGCGGAGTCAGAGGCTCAAAATAACACAACTAGTACCCCTAACGCGGCTTCTGCCACAGGTGCTGACAAAGTAATAAACACTCAAACAGATAGAGCCCAGGTTGAAGGTGAGTTTTGTCTACAACGTGAACATTAAGCCATACGGTGTCATTTAGCTTCTTTAGCTAACTGGCTAGCAGGCTCAACAGTAGGGTGAGCTAGCTGCTTAGCTAAATGCGCTAACGTCAACGGTGTAACGTTAGCTCAAACGTTAGCAGTAGAGCTTCTGGAAATAGCTCGTCAAATAATAATAATAATAAAAAAGCCCTTTGTAACGCTGGACAACTCTAAAAGTGAAACAATAGAAAGTTTAAAGATTAACGTAATTTGTTTCCAGAGGTCCGGGAGTGGTTGGCCAGTTGCTAACGTCAATTGTTTTGCAAGCTAGTGTCAGCATACGCCCAAAACCAAACTCCCTGTAAACCTTAGTCATATGTCAACCACGGGTTAAGGTTAGCTTTCTAGGCAGCTAGCATAGGCCAACAAATGTTAATTCCATTCAGTGTTGACGTTAAATTAGGTTTCCCTGGCAACAGTTGGTAATGGCTTATCTGACTTGAATCAGTCAATTAAATTACATTTATTTATTGTCATTGTATTGTTAAAAAAGCAATCCTGTCAGTGCATATCTACATATCAAAAGAATGGATTGAAAAGCTTTAGCTTGTCGCGGAATCTACAGTCTTTTAATCTTTCTTGGTAATGATTTTGAAGGAACTTAGCCCTCATCAGCTGATCAGCTGTCATTCTGCTGATCTCTAAGACCAGCAGAATAGTTGATGCTTTCAAGACAAGCATGTGAGTAGAAGAAAAACAATCAGCAGATATGAATATGTCAGCAGTATAAATCAAAGTGCTAATTAATTGTTGTTTTAATAGTTTAACATATTTGGTCAATAATTTATTAGTGACAATAGATCCTCAGAAATATAAATATTTATTTTGGAGTTCTTGTGTGTATATAAAACAATTTGGGACACTAACTGTTTTACTATTTTTTGTATTAGCCTAATTAATATGGTAAGGTAATTGTTGTGCAATTTGGTAATTAATGTCATTTTAGTTGTATTCATACATTTCCATTCCTCACCATCATGTTCTTTGATTAGCTCAATGCAACACACCTTGTCAAACCACACAACAAACCATGTTATTATTTATGAAGATTTTATTTTTAGAGCAAGGATAGCAAACAAATCACAGTAACATCTCAGTTCCTATGCATTGATGACATTTTTGTTTAATCCTTAAAGTTGAAACTCTCAAATAGTTTCTTCACAGTTTTGCTACTTGTTGGTTAAAAATGTTTTTTGAAGTAAAAAAATATGCAGAGCACAATGTACATTATTGATGCTATCAGGACAAACTGGGTGATATTTCTGCATACAAAGAATGCAGAAATGCGAGAAATATTTCAGTCAAGCATGAAACCACGATTTCTCACATTGTAGCAACACGGTACGAGTGCTAAAAGGTTTTACTGTTACGAAGGAGGTTACAGTTGATGTGAATAATTCAAGTAGTATTTTTTTGGACAATTTAGGAATTGTATTAGTGGAAGCACAACGTTTATCCCTATCCAAAAGAATGATTTTGGCAAATTTATATACAAATAATGTTTAACAATAAACTTGACTTACTTTAAATACAGTCCTATGTTGTTGGTACATCTTAATTAAATGTGGAATCAAATATAATTTGTAATGTTGTTACAGTATATATTGCATGCAGAGCTGTTTATGCTGCTGGCTTGTTCTGTGACCTTTCACGTTTTCAAATAATGAGAAAAGTTCGTATTAGCATTTTATTTTTCAGCTTCTAATTCTACAAAAGCTAGTTGATCACCATATTTACCACAACCAGCTCACGTAGAGACACAGTCCGATTTTATTTTGGTTTTGTTTTACAATCTGATATCGATTACAATGAATGAATGTAATGAGATATGATCATTTAGTAGCCTGTTGCTTGTTAATCATGTTAAAATAATCCTTCACGTTATTCTCTGTGGCTCAGCTGTAACAGTATTCTGCCTCACAGGAGACAAGAGTGAAGAGGAACTGCTGAAGAGTCTCCTCACGTACGACCACTGCCATGTGTGTGATGCTGCGCTGCTCTACGAATCTCAGCGAGTGTCCCACTACGAGGTGTGTGCTGCTTTCCAGGCGCTAGTCATGGAACTGTGGTGCCGTTTCAATGAGCTAACAAGGTCCGAGCCTTTGTAATAATGTCTCTCGTTTATCCCCCAACTGCAGGGAAAGAAACATGCTCAGAAACTCAGAGTGTACCTGCAGGCCAAGAGAACCGAGAAGATCCAAGAGTCCACAAGACCCCAGGTCAGCACGCTTTGAGAGATGTTACTCTTTACAGTCTGAGGGTCATATCTTTATCCTTCTCTGTAGGATATGATTTCATATGGAGGTACACAGAAGGTTTAAAGGATTGTCATACGACATCTTGTTTTCTTCTTTATTCTTTTTGTACAAACTACCTCAGGAAACACATATTTGTCTCATGATAATTCAGTCTTGTTCCTGTTGTTTTGCAGCGTACCATGACGATGGATAAGGACCAGTTCTGTGAGCTGTGCAACATGGTGTTTAGTTCTCAAGTTGTGGCAAAATCCCACTATGATGGAAAAGTCCATGCCAAAAATCTCCGCAAACAAGGTCTACAGCCCCCAGGCAAGTGTGTGATGTGTGATGGAAAAGTAAATAAGTAATCTATATTATTTACACACCAGCAGTGGATTAAGTTCTGCTTAAAGGCATAATTACAAAATAATCATTTATATATTAATTATTCTACCTGCTTAAACTACAATTCTTGAAGAGTGTCCAAAAAGAGAACAAGTTCTTCATAAATTGAATGAAATTAGGGCAGTATCAACAGGAAAACAGGATAAAAGAGACTTTATTTATTCTGCAAATTGCATTATCAATTCTAGAGACTTTTTCATTTAAAAAATGTTTGTTCTCTGGTATACAAAAAAAAAGTTTCTTCATGAATTCACAACACAGGTGTGTAATTGATTTACAAATGGTTATTTGGGGGTGATATTCTTTTATTTCAGAAAGTCCAGCACATATGAATGAAATGGATGATTTCTCTTCACAGCTGTAGACAGGATGCTCCCAGAGGTTGGTACGGAGCATCTTCTGGACCCAACGGCCCCCAACACGGCACCGAAGAAGGATGTTGATCTGAAGGACCCCAACAAGTACTGCGCCCTGTGTGCCGCCTCCTTCAACAATCCCCAGATGGCGTTGCAGCACTACAATGGACGCAAACACCAGAGGAATCAGACCAGACAGGACCTGCTCAAAAACCTCGGAGACAATGTCCAAGAAGGTAACACGGGGTCCTGCGTCTCACATTACAGAGAGGGGGCCGAGCCTAGAGGCACATGTGTGCATGCTGAGGAGAGCCTGTGTCCATTCTTAATGTAGACGTTAATATTTCTATAGATGTTTAAAATCAGAATCAGAATAACTTTATGTGTCCCACAGAGGGGAAATGTACACTGTTACAGTGAAAGTGAAGATAGACACATAAAATAATACACTATTAGAAACGGCAGCACATAATATTTAAAATAAAAAAAATGAAATAACGTTATTTCAATTTATAAGTAACATTCATAATACATTTTCAATGTACATATTGCACACACGTTTTATTGCACATCAGGGGTGTCATAGTCTGTGTTTGTTTTTGTGTTTTTACATCAATGCAAGTTGGTGTAATTCCACAACAGGCGTGTCGTAGTCTTTATTGTTGTGTGAGTGTGCTGGTCTACCGGGGGCTGTTGTGGTTATACAGCCTGACCGCTGCAGGAAGAGTCATACGAGGCTAGAGAGTTCCTTGTACACTTTACAGCACGAGTTCTCTAGCTATATTTGTGTTGTTACCGAAATATCCATAATCAAATCGAAATTGAGTGGAAGCGAAACATTGATCAGCAGTGAGCATCTTGTCCCATCAGGTAGGTGTTCGCTTGATAACCTTCTCAAATAAACTGGTGTAAGCCGGTAGTCTAACTGCAGTTTGTTAGACAGAATATACAGTGTAGCAGAATGTTAGCCTTAGTTCTTGTGTCAGGTTCTTAACCTTTATTTTCACTTGTAGGCTGTATAACATGTCTTTTGTTGATCCTTCATTGTTAATATGATTGTAAACATAAGTAAGAAACTCACTAGAATCTCAAAGAAAGGGTTATGAGGGCTTTATTCGATTATTGAAGTTGAATTTTCCTCCTCATTTGCCACCTCACCCACTCTCTGTTATCTACAGCCGACTCCCTGATGTGTCAGATGTGTAGCATTCAGTTTAACTCTGTGGAGATGTACCAGGCCCACATGCAGGGGAACAAACACCAGATCAGGTAAGATGATATCTGCAACACTGCACTCACACACCCTTCCACTACTTTATTTATATTCAAATGATCATGGTGTGATTTATTTAAAATGATCTCTACCAAACAAGGTAAAGTCTTTAGAAAAGATATTTCACATATTTTGCTTTTACCAATTATTGCTCTTACTGTGTTTTCTGTGTAAGTGGGGCATTCATTACACAATTGCATATCTACTTAATTCCTTGTTTCCATGTTCTCATCCAGGGAGAAGAAGGTGGTTCACCTCTGCAAATCCCAACAGAAAGACTACAGCACGTTTGCGGATGAACTGGCAGATTTCATTCAGGTTCAGAAAGCTCGTGGAATCAAGCCCAAGGCCGGGCAAGTCACACAACAGGAGGAGGAGGAGGGTGAAGAAGAGGAAGCCTTAAACAAAGGGGAAATATTAGAACTGAATAAACCCAGGCTCAACCCCCCTCCCATCTCTCACCCTCCTCACCCCTCCCGCCCTGGGTGTCACGACACAGTTGAAGGGTGGCGTCCTCCGTATCAGGGCCCCTCCTGGCTGTCCCATGGCTGGGACTACAAACGGCCTCCTCAAGCCCTCCCAGGACCTCCTCTAGCCCTCCCAGGCCCTCCTCTCTTCTCCAGTCAGCCCACTAGGAAGAGGAGGCACAGAAAGCAGTCGAGCTCATCCTCCTATACTTCTTCATCATCTTCCTCCTCCTCTTATAGCAGCAGCAGCAGTGACAGTGGTGACAGCGAACACCGGCGCAGAGAAAAGAGGAGGATTAAAAGATCCAGACGAGAGAGAGACAGGAGAGCAAGAGATGAGGACTCAGATAAGGACAAGAAGAGGAGGAAGCAGCAGCGGAGGAGAGATGATGACTCAGTGGAGGGGAGAAGGGAGGATTCAGGAGGGTCGGGGGAAGAGAGGAGAAAGGGGAAAACTCCTGGCAAGCGGAGAAGACGGGAAAATAAATTAAAGGAGAAGGACCTCGAAGCGGAAGGAGGGGAAAGGGTGATGGACAAATTGACACCAGGAGACATGATGAACAACAGGAAAGAGACAGAGGAGCATATTCAGGCTGAAATGAATGTTGAGCAGGGGGAAGGAGGACAAGACACATCCAAAGCTAAATACAATAAAAAAGAGAAGAAGAAAACTAAAGAGACAGCAGACACAAGGACAGAGGAGGAGAAGCTGTGGGACGACTCCATCCTGGGCTGCTGACATTTTAAGCAAAACACAGAAGTTATAAATATTAGCAGTTTACAAAGCAGTGTTTACTTTCTACTCTGACAGTGTTGCTCTCCATAGGTGTGCTAGCTGGCTAGCCATGTTTAGCTCATTTATGTTTCGGTTATTGTTTGAAGAAAATTCTTACAGTTATAATACTTTATTTTTCTCTATGACACTAAATTATATTGTTGATTTAATTCATTTGCACATCTTTATTTACTGGTGATCTATTTTCTTTCTTCTTTGTTGCCTTAATTTTAAATGATCAGGAAGTTCTCTTCACCTCTCAACACATCGATATGTTTCTGTCTGAGCTGCTGACTGTGATGCCTTCAGCAGCCTGTGGTTGGCACTGTCGAGCTTCACTCAGCATCAGTAAAGCAAATAAAAGCACACAGATGTTAGAAGAGTAGTCCTTTCATTTCTTTTGAAGCTCCATGTGCTTTTACTCAGAGTAACATCTGCTGAAAGGAGGCCAGCATAGACGGGTTCAGCGCATGTTGGATGTATTAGAAAGATGCAAATATGACCAGTTCTGGTTCTCATCAAAACTATTGCACAAAGACAATACTAAGACATTGCTTCAGTCTGTAGTGCTGTGTGTGCATGTGTTGGGATGTTTTTGCAAACAGCCCATACAGTGTTTGGGGTCAGACAGGTGCAACAGTTCGAATGAGGACAGCTCTTCACAAACTTCATATGTTCACATGCAGTCTGTGATAACTTGTACGTTGGCAGTTTACGGTACTTAAAGATGACTGAAACATCTTCTCAACTCATAAGGATCCACTCCAAACAACATCTTGTTCTTAATAAATCCTGAAAAGTAAAAAAATATCCCTAAGAGTCAAAACACGGAGGCGAGGCGAGCCTTTTTGGCACAGCAAACTTATTTTTCAAAGAATGTATTGTCCTTGAACAGCTCTTTTTTCTTACACGATCTGCTGGGTGGTTTGTGGACCACTTTTCAAACCTTCTTTATCCGTAAGTGCTATGCAATTTCCTATCTAAGGCCGTGTACTTACCTACTTTGGCTTATAACAAAGATATTTTGTAGAAAGGTTGGCAGGCAATTATGCACTCAGACTTAAAGGTGGGGTAGGTAAGTCTGAGAAACCGGCTCGAGATACACTTTTTGTTATATTCCATGGAATGCTCTTAACATCCCGATAGCAATGAATATCTGAAGTGCTTTGACAAGAAAATCCATTAAAAAATGTCATCTGTGGAAGCCGTAGTACTGTAAAAAGCACGACCAATCATTTTAGCCAGCCCGGCTAAAATAACTGGATGGCCTACCTGCCTGTCAGCCTTCCATCTGTGCACAGACTTATCTCGTGCCCTCATTGGTCATGTGCGCGTTCGTGTGTGTTGGAGGAGGGGCTCTATAAGGAAGTGGCAGATTTGTTCCTGCTGTGTATTTTCAAATTCTAGCGCACTCGAGCTGGTTTCTCCGAAATTACCTACCCCACCTTTAAGTATTCTGATATCTACAATACGTTAAATAAAGAACTGCCTAAACAGGCCCACAAATTAAATATCCTTAAAACACATATGTTGTACTTATTTGTAGAAGACTTTCTTGACAGTCTGTCTACTTACTTTGACATTTGGCATTTGTGTGATGTATTGCTGTATATTTGATCACACTAGGATCCTGAGAGCTGATTGGTGCACATTATGTGGCGTGTTTGAACAGGAGGATTAAACCAGGAATCAAGCCAAAGTAGTGCAGTAAATCAAAAACATGCACGAAACAGCTTGCTAGTGTGCGTTAACGTTAATAACTTTTGCAAAGACTTCTGTAGAGGCCTTTAGGATGAAAAACCTCTTACATGAAGTTTGGACTTTAGGTAAGGCTCTGCAAATGACAACCACTAAACCGTTTGTGACACATACTAAGACATGGACATAATGTGAGTCTGAAAATGCTAAACTTTTCATAAAACTGTCTGTTGAAAGCAGTAGAGAAATGAAATGAAGGCGGCTTTGACTTAAAGCGTCGGAGCAGCAGACCAACAAAGGCTTCACAGCTCGGCAAGGTGTAGAGCAGCTCTGAAGCCCCCTGAGCTCTCCTGTTTTCAAAGAATCCTGTGGTCTCGTTCCCTATCTCGCTCGTGTCGTAGACCCCCGTAGAGGTATAAGGTGCCCACATCCTCCGACTTTAAGACCCTCACCAGACCGTTCTACGCCCTCACTTTTCACACAACACTAAATAATACAGAAACAAGACAATCCACAGACAACACTCATTATTTAAGTGATCCTTAGGTTCGTCATGGAGAGTTCAATGGGATAACCAGAGAGTTGAACACTCAGTCCTCTCTTTAGCTGTTAAATTGGACATATATCTTTCATGTGGGGTAAATAACTCAATATAAGGTTTGTTTCATTCAGATATGAACAGCAATCTAATGCAGTGTACCTGTGCAAGTCATACAGTACTGCTCAAAAAATCACTGGGAGAGTATTTTTTGGTATGAGTCGAGATCAGCAACAGTATAGAGAATATCCAAACACTATTGTTTCCCTCATGGAACGAAAATACCATTCATAAGTCCAAGCTGTTTTATAGTTATGAATTGAGTTCCTGAATTTATTAGACTGGTATTTAGCAATCATTTGAAGACCCCCTGCTTTTGGAAGTTGTGATTTTTATCTAATTTTGTATTATTACTGATTTGTGATTCATCAATTATTAGGCAAATTAGACCACGCTGAAAATAATTGTCCTGATCGACTCATTCCAAAGTCAGATGTTGTCAAAAGTTAACTTTGCTGTCTTCTCTTCCTGTGCTACGTCTGTAGCTGCGGGATGAGATGTATCTAACGTACCCCCGTACATCGGCCTGTCAACCCTGCATTGTAACTCAGGACAGAATAAAGACCGCTTGCTACAAAACTGCCAAAACTTCAACTGTCAAACTAATTTCTACGGAAAGTATCTTCTATTTTGTTAGGGAGATGTATAAAACGAAAGTCTTCTTATTATCTGTATAAGCATTTGGGATAAAAAAGAAGTAGTCAACTAGAGAAATGCACTTTTGTTTTAATAGTTGAACTGAAAAACTTCAAACTAAATATCAATTTATCTAGTTTAATTAATTGAAAACAATTGATTTCATTATTGAAGTATTACTTGTGATTGAATTAATACAAATTTACCTTGGAGAAGTGAAAATATTCAGAATGTAAATGAGTGCTTTCTTAATGTGTGTGTTGATGAACTTATACTCCATACTTACGCTAAAGAAGCCAAGTATACGCCAATTTAAAGAAGTAGGTATATTTAACAATAATCTGGATTACGGTTTATCATTGATCCTCCGTTTCGAGTAGTTAAGCTTCAGGCACGTGCTGGTATTCCCTCTCCGTGCTTTGCAGGAAGGCATGAAGCTGCGTATGTAGGACTCTGCTGAGCTCTAGGTCATGCACCTGGGCAGAGACCACAGCCCTGCACGCTGCTGCTCCCTGAATATCAACTTTTTTCAGAGTTTATGTGGTATGATATAAACTCTCATGAGACATTACCACGTCTTCAGATGTTTGGCATCACTGTATGTATGTCAGGTATGTTTTTGGGGTGTTTTATGTACTTTTGAAGGGAGTCAAGAATGTTCGAAACGTGTTTGTTCGGATATTCAGTACACAATAGGCCAGTTGTCTGTTGTGTTTAATGCACAAATTAAGTAAAAATTAACTGCTTTGTGTGTGTGTGTGTGTGTGTGTGTGTGTGTGTGTGTGTGTGTGTGTGTGTGTGTGTGTGTGTGTGTGTGTGTGTGTGTGTGTGTGTGTGTGTGTGTGTGTGTGTGTGTGTGTGTGTGTGTGTGTGTGTGTGTGTGTGTGTGTACGGCCCACTCTGATAGGCCCTGTGTGTGTCACACTTGGGTGTTACCTTGACGACTCAGGGCCCTTTCAGCTCAGTTCCTCCCATCATATGTGACAGATAGACAGCAGGAAGAGAAAGTATCAGCAGCGTCCCTCGGCTACAGAGCTACAGACGCGTACAAACACACGTACTGGAGACTGGACAAAATGATCCTGCTGCCGCTGGCATGGACACTGTGGACGGTTTCTCTGTGGACGTTGGGTAAGACTCTCCGCTTCCAGTTGTTTCTTAAGCCTCAGGCGTTATTCTCATCATAACTCAGTCAGGGGCCCGTAGCAAGGGATGTGTTGTTGTCTAATCAAACTTAAGCTCCAGTGATGTATCTTACATTATGTCTACATTCATCAAATACTGCCCTAACCAAAGTTTTTGCTGACAGTTTTTTAATAGTCAAAAAGACGGCAAGGAAGGTTTTAATAAGTTAACGCCGTTGGTGCCTTTGTAAAATCTATAGCTAAATGGCTACGGATGTTACATTTGTTTCATATCTCATAAGAGTACAAAATATACTGGTATAAGTTATTGATATTTTGTATGAATTAACATCAATGTATTCAAATATGGATTGAATGTACGGTGGTGATAAATGATGAGGATAATACTCTACCTGTTTGTGTTTTTCAGTAGGTCGGTATCGATTGTATATTTCCTTAGAATTAGTTTATTAACAATATATATAATAGCTCTATTAAGGCATTGATATATAAGTATTTCTACTGTGTTGAATTTAAGATTAAAACAATTTGGTGCAATCCTAAACGTTACGTAATGTGTGCATTTAAACAAATCAGTCTCTATACGACTTGAGTTAACCTTTCGTACATTGGGAGCCTTTGAATTTCCGCTTATCTTTACATACTTCATAAGACTAGTGATTGCAACAGGTATATATGCCTACATTTCTGACTTGAAAACACACAAAACAGGCATTGGAACTGATTCTAAAATGAAATCCCTTAAACATAAATGGCAACGCAGTCTCCACATATACAGTATACGCATTATTTTCAAAATGTCACAGTTTGAAATACGTACAACAAATGTCTTCATAGTTCAACTTAATTTCCATTCTTGCAACACTTTTGGTGATTGTTGTTGTGTTTCTACAAAATGTTATACAGTAATGTATCCTCTGCCTAGCTCGAAGAATGAATACTTGTCCGAGCTTTTGCATTTTTCACAATTAGCCTTATTGAGTTCGGCAGAAAGAGTGCCTTTCGCTGTTACTTAAAAATGTACACAGCAAGTGATCGAAAACTTGCTTTGAGACATCTTAAAAGTTACCCTGTCGGGATAACATACAACTCTAAGGAGATTAGGTGTTCGGCCTTGACTTCATTGAAGTGTTTTAGAGCCCTGACTGTTACTGTTGAGGCTGAACTCCCATACTGGACTTTAGCAGTTGTTCAATGTGGTTTTTGAAATCTCAATCATATCTCTATTTCCACTCCTAGGTTCGAGCCAGACCATGCTGCTGGAACCCCTCACTGTTTTTTATCCCAAGATCCTCCGTTCACAGACTATTGAGTGTGACTGCGCTGACGTCCCCTGTCACTCCGTCTATTGGTTCCGCAGCATTTCCAACAACAGCAAAATGGAGTTCATCGGCCTGGGCAACCATGCTGACCGGATCAAACTCGGGGATGGAGTGGACAAGAGACGGTTCAAATTCATCATCAAGAGCAAAAATCTCTTTGCGCTACAGATCATCAACTTGACAAAAGAGGACACAGGAACCTATTCTTGTGTCCTGAAGAAGGGACCCGATGAAACCTGGAAGCCTGGGATTCTTCTCCTGCCGGGAGGTTTGTTGGCTAAAATCTCAAGCGCTTCATTCACAGTGCTGAAGTCAAATGAAATATCTGGCGGCCCTGAGGGTTTCAGTGTCCAAATTCAAGTGGAGGAAGAAATATGTAAAGGACGAAATGCAAATCAGTACCACATATCTGCATTTAAATCTGCTGCATTATGACAACTAATTACATTAGCACAATGTACAATGTACAATGTACAATGAAGATGTGACTTCAAAAGTAATCGTATGCCGCTACAAGCGATGTTGACTTCATCCAGGGGAGACGGTCTCACATCCTCCTGTCGTTTTATATCAACTCATTCAAACTCCACATTCCACTAGCCTATCTTTCTTTAAAAAAAAAAAAAGTGATGTTTTATCAAGAGTCAGTTCTGACCAAAATCCTGGAACTTCTTAAAGGTTGTCTTGTTTCCCCTGGTTACGGCAGTCCAATACAACCACGTAGACTAAGTGGACGCTAAAAACAGAAACCTCAGTGACGGCTGTTTTTACTTTTGTTGAGAGACGTCTACATGTAGCAGGCTTGCATGAGAAATATTAGTGCAATATAGTTTTCACTTTGGGATTGGTACTTCTTTTTGACTGACTGGTGCCGTCTGTCAACATGAACCAGATGTATTGATGGTCAATGCAATTGAGATCACATATCAAGTATACATAGTGTCAATAGATTAATCGAATGTATTTATATGAGTGCTTAGAGTTTGTTTATCATTATGAAAGAAAAATCTGAAGAATAGCTCTCAACTAGCCGACTGTACTAGAGAGTCACGCACAGTCATACATCAAACATGAAGTACTGTACAGAGAGTTTGCTGTAGATTATTTTCTGATGAGACAATTGGGAGAGGTTGGACATTACTGGGTTCTCATTTATTCCCTCTCTGCACCATAAAAGTTTCTTTAAATTCTCGTTACACTGCTGTTTAGCTATAACTGCTTTTCCTGTTTGCTCTTTATCTGACAGTGACCCCTCAAATAATAAAAACTGACACAAAACCGACCGTCAAGTCAGTCTGTCGCTGCAAAAAGCCTCCACAGGGTAAGTTATGATCTATTTTATTAACCCTTATGTTGTATTCGGGTCTCCCGTGACCCGTTTCAAGTTAAAATTATATAATAACTACGCTCTAGTTTTTTTTAACGGAACAAGGTTTCATGATATCCTCCACAACAGCTATATAAACACTACAAAACAGATTTTGACAATTTTAGCCAAGTCTGAAGGTCTCTAAAAAAGTGTATGATTTGGTGTTCGGGTCTGGGAAGACCCAACAACATGGTTTTGGGTGACTCGGGGTCACATTTGGCCCAATCAAGATTCATCTTTGACTTTAGACACCCCACCCCCACCCCCTTCATCCTCTGTAACAATAATTTAATAATCTTGGGAGACTGTATTCTAATATTAGTCTAATATAGTCAGATAACGTAATGTTCCACTGTCTTCACTATAGGAAATATAATGAGTGAATTGAATCACATGTTTTACTTAAATATGTGGTGTAATGTTTTTTGGGGCCATAAAATAAAATTACAACAGGATTGTACGGTTATGAATGCATAATAAGTTAGTTATGATGTAGTTAAAACAATATTGGATGATAGTCATTATTTTTGAGTGTTTTGGACTGAGATAAATCATGGGTCAAAATTGACCCGCGAACACCATGGACGGTAACAGCTTTTGAACACGACACAAGGGTTAAAGGGAAATTAAGTTTGCGTAATTGATGTGATGCTCTGTATTTTAAAACTGTGATCTTTTCATGAAAAAGCATTTTCTTCTATGAATAGGGATTGGATGCATTTTATGCCCTGTCAGATTTCGATGATTTAAATACAATAGAAGAGGTCATTTGGAATAGAAGAGGTCATTTGGAAAAGGAAATGTTAAACTGAAAAAAGTAAACATGAAATGATAGATCTTAATGTGTGGCTACAAGAAGTAAGCAATGATACATTATTTTAAACATGTACTGTGTGTTTGCTGTAGATGGCTGTGGCTCCCTGGTTTTCTGGCCGTTGGTTGGACTTATCGCAGCCCTGGTTCTAACTCTCGTTGGCACGCTGTACTACTTCAGCCGTGAGTATTCATCCAGATTTTCTGCACTTAGTTTGATAAGGTTTTGATGTATCACTTAAGTGTTATTTTTCTTGCTCATAGGGCTACCCAAAAAGTGTCGGCACCACTTTGTGAAGTAAGTACATTTCTACAAATGGAGGAAATATCCTTTATTTTTCCTTTTTGTTAAAATAAGATAACCCTATAACCCTTCTTTTGTCTTTAACTATTAAGGAAGCGGTAGATGACCTAAACTACTGCATCTACATCTGATATCTGACTCAAGGTATGTACCTCATTTGTGTTAATAAATGTATTCATAGTTATAACAACATTTATTTTGATCTCCAGACTTGTTTAGGCCTTAGTAAAAGTGCTAAATGTTTTGCCAAAATCCCAGGTTACTTATGCAACATTCATATTTCCACACTCACACTTGCCTTTTTGATTTCAGTGACTTGCTCTGACGTCCAGTGGAGCACGAAGGACATGAAAATCACCTCCGCTAACAACATGCCGTCTTCATTAACAGCGAAATGTGCGCCGGTTAGAGAAGAGGTTGATGTGTCCAAGGACAGCAACCATGTAACATATTGTAATATATTGATTTTTTGTTTTACATATATTACAAGACAGCTCCAGAGCTGCAACACATTACATTCTAAACTCTTTGTGTTACTTTCATCTATAATATGTTTTTGGTTCGTCAATAATGCAGATGACATCATAATTTATCCATGTGCTTTTTCAATCTCTGAAGCTTTTTTTTTGTCTTGAAATGCGTACATAACAGAGCAGTTTTTCCTGAAAGCACGAACCTAATCCGTTTATTTACATTAAAACATTGATCACTAAACAGCTTAAAATCAAGTATTTGCTCATTTGCTTTTTCCTGTCTTTGGTATTTATTTGTGTTTTTTGCATTTTTGTTTTAAAACAGCATTGTTACGTTCATTTTTCTGTGAGCATGATTATGTTAAATCAATAAAATGTTATAATTCCAATCATTTACAGTGGTGACTGTTCTTTTTATACCATAAATATGTGTTGTGTGTTATTAAAGGCATCTATTAAAACATTTCATAGACAGCGGGGAATACATTTTTGATTTATTGCCTACTGTCTATACAATGATACATAAAGATTTTATAAAATGTGTAATGCCAAGTTAAATGCCAAATTCATCCAAAGGATATTGACACTTAGACGATTGCTCCAGAGCACTGTTGCAACAACAGGAATTAGCTGGGTTTAGCTTTGATGCCAAACGCTGTGTGTGTCTCCAATGACAGATGACGTGTGTGCAGATAACTAAAAAGCCTTTTGTTTCAAAATGCTCGTATGTGTAAACGAGGTATGGAAAAGAAGAGAAAGAGGTTTGGAAGTGGGTGTTGTACATCCATCGTCAATATCGTGTTTTGCGGAAGTTGAGTAGGTGAGTGATAGGGTTTGGTTTCTTTTTTACCTTTGATGTGTAAACTTGCATCACATTCAGTTTCTGTTGAACTGCCACCAGTGTGCAGCAACAAGCTTTATTGTGATCATCTTAAATACAAAGTTGATTTAAAGCAGATATTTATTTTTCTATATATTGTTTTATAAGTGTGTATCTCTTGCTGTCGCGTCCTCTCTCTGACACACACACACACATGCACACCTGTGCTGCCATTGAGGAGTGTGAAGAAAGACTGAGTTGGTGGTTGTTCGGGTCTCAGTGAGTGTGCGCGACCCTTTCCTGTGTGCAGGAGAGAGGAGAGGCAGAACCGTGTTCACTTGATGCTATCGCCTCGCTTAGCTTTGAGCTCTTCATGTAGTCTCTGAAACAAAAAGACCACAAAAGTACCACAGACCCAACCACAAGCACTGACAGAGACACAGGGAAAGAGCGCTACGGTTTGGAAATGAGTACAGTAAGAAAAAACACTTAAAGACACTCCTTGTTGCAGTCTGCTTTATTACATATGATACAGTATTAAACAATTATATCACCAAATCCAATACAGGTTACATGGTTTATAAACCAGGAGGGAGTTGGATGATTGTTTAAGTAGAGTAAGTTAAATCAAACAAATGCTGCATCAACAACTCCTTTTCTCTTTTCATTAACTGTATCTACAGTAGATGTATGTATGTATGTATGTATGTATGTATAGTATTGTTCAACAGTAGCGGTGTAAACTAATTTTACATGGGGGGCCGTGATGGGGCCAATAATTTAATGCAGGAAGAAGGAGATTTTAACATTTTTAGTTTAGTATAAAGTCATAGCTTAAAGTTTAAAATAAACATAAAATACCATAATCGTTGATTTAGTGACAGAGTTTGTGACTTTGTTACAATTTTATATTATTTGTTTAGTTACATTGGCCCAAGATACAGAACATTAAAATAAGTTTGGGGTAATAAATACATTATGTATGCAACCAACTATGGTTTTATTTTATTTCTTTATATGTGTTGGGATTTGTTTTAGTCACAACATTGGTTTCAGTAATTTAGTTTCAACTTACTAAATGACATTACTGAAAAAACCCTGTTAACTTTGGCCCAGGTTATAGCACAGTAACTTAGTATTTTAAATGAATTGCACTATCATAGATTAATTATTTTGGAGGGGGGCCACAGGGGATCCAAGCTCCTTGTTACAGGGGCACTGGCCCCTGTTGGCCCCCCTCTAGAACCGCCCATGTTGTACAATCACGCAAAACAAAGAAAAAACATTTAGTTGCCAGATACATTTCTTTAATTTTCCAAAGTATTGAAACGCTTCATAAAATGCATTACAGTTAACCAGCAGCATAACAGTGAGCCTCCAGAAGGACGAGGAAAATAAAGCATTATAAACTGACCCTCATGGCCTTCATAGAGTTTTTCTAGGTCATGTTCATCAGTTCCAGGAAACATGAGTTTTGCACGGCAGCGTAAGACTTCTGATACAGAGGATTTATTTCTGCTGTTCTCTGCTGACAAATGTTAGCGTGGATATTTTAAACACAATATTCTGTAGAGATAAAACATATGAAGAGAAGACAAACTGAACCGAATATATGTAGTAAAGTGTGTGTGTGTGTGTGTGTGTGTGTGTGTGTGTGTGTGTGTGTGTGTGTGTGTGTGTGTGTGTGTGTGTGTGTTTGCGTGTGTGTGACAATTATAAACCCCACGCTTACGTCTGTCATTTCATGTTCTTTCCACCTACAGTCCACGTTATTGATCATAGTCATATATATATATTATAATTACATTTTCAAGCTTTAGACAATGACGCTTATGTTTGTGTTTATGGTTACTTCTTTTGTATGTTAGTTCATAAAGCCCTAACAATGTATTTGTTACTTTGAATTTTTAGCCGTATTTATTTCTGTCTAGGTTGCCGTGTTGCATTTCCACTCTGGGGAACAGTAAAGGCTTAACTTTCTTCTTAAAGATACAAAATATACACCCTACACTAATAAATGACATAAAAGGATAATGGTTTCTCTAAAGGTTTCAGGATTATAAAAGACAGAGGGGCAAAATGTGTGGCAGGATAATCATCAAAACATTTCTACAATTTTACTTTTGTGCATTTTATATATTACAAAATACACTTATGAATTAATCAACCACGACGCCAAACACCATTTCACGTGATAAACTCCCATCGAGGCGTATGTAATGATAGAGGGTTAACATATGAAATATGGGGCTTGACATTAAACATGTTTTCCTCTGACTAATGTGCAAGAGATTTATAGTTTGCACCCATTTCATGATAGAAAATATATATCTAAATCCATTACATGTAAATGACAAGAGTACACACCAGCAAATGAAACAAATATGAATGATAAAAATATCTGGTTTCAAATATATGAATATGAAGCAACATGACTAATTGTACAGATAACAAGACATCTCCGTGAGGATCTGTGGTGAAATCTTGCTGACAAAATACGGTGTAATATATATCAGCTTATGCCTAAAACGATCGACTGTCAAATGTGTCACACAATATCTAATAATACATCTAACAATAAAAGTCACAAACAAAAGACAGTCCACTGTATGACTATTCTACACCACATTTTTGAATAAGAATTATGTTTTTCTCCATAAAATAGACATTACACATTCATTTATTTTCGCCAATGCCAAACAAACATATTTGTTACCACTAAGCCAGAGCCGAAAACGTCCATTTGAGTGCAGAATTATTTTCAAAAATTCTACATACTGTACACAACTGTGTATTTGTGTTGAGGTATCTGCATGAGTTCAGTCCCTCCATTTCTACTTACTCCTCTCGTTGCTGTTGGTTTCCTCTTCACAACTTCATATCCCATAATGCCAGGAACTGCCAATACAGTAACAGAGAAGTAACAGGTGAGTCAAAATGATGACTAACAGGTGAATCAGTAATGAAGGTGCTGCTATCTTCAGATTATTAAGACGTCTCTTCTGACTGCATTTGAATGTTAAGCTATGCGATGGAACTGTACAGGGTTCTCTCTTTCTCACTGGCTTCTCCTGGTCCACCACACACACACACACACACACACACACACACACACACACACACACACACAGATGTAAGTTTCAGGTTGGAGACCCCCTGTCTGACTAAGATAGGGAAGCCCATGCAGGTGTTTGTGAGTGACTAATACCTGAAACAGAGATATGGAAAGGTGGAGTGGGCTTTCAGAGCGTTTTGACTGGGTCTCCCTCTAACATCAACAGAATCCCCTGCGTACTGAAAACGACTTGTGAAACCTCAACCTGGTTTCCATCATGGTTGCATTCCGGAAAAATGTCAAAGTAATTTATTAAAAACAAAGTAAAGTTAATAATCAGCATCTGCATTTTGAGTAAATCATGTGACGGGATACAGAAATGCCTTACAGACACAATACTGTCTCTTACTCTCTGTTATTTCTCTTTGTCGCTCTCCTCCCACCCATGGAACAGATGAATCGCCCACATTACAGCGAAATGTCAGCACTTATTGCCCATTACTAAATCGGTGCATTGACTTTCCATCACTGAGCAGGAAATAGGACGGGCGCCGGGTTGCGCCATAGTCGCTGAAGCACTCTCAGTTCATGTGAAGGGAGTTTCACTTCCCAACAACTGTGAGACCAGCTTTCACATGAAGTGACAGGTGACATTATGATTAATTGTTGCTAGGGTACAAGCTATGTCCTTTGTTGTTAGTATAAATGGTTTTCCTATATTTGCATCCCAATTGGTTGTGCTAGGATTTCACTTACAAGTTCAATACAGCTTCACACAGGCCACAGAGCAGTAGATCGTAAAACACAGTTGCATCAGGTGAAGTTAGCTCTTAAAGAGATTCTACAACCCTTTAATATTTCACCCTTGTAAACTCTGGGGGAATTGTAAAAAACATCCTTAAAAATGAAGCAGCAAATCATGAGTTATTCTGACTTTTGACGCAGGTATAAGTGAAGCTACGGAAAAACTTGACCCTGCTTGTTCCATAATGCATCTTAGCAGCATCTTTTGTTAGAAAAGAAAATGTCACACCTCGAGTTTACAGCAGGTGTTTTCCACTGCTTTGACTGTGGAGCAGCAGTTTTGTGAATCATGAGTCAATGATGTACTGTTTAATCAATAAAGAGCTTTTAATCCTGATTCTGCTGCCACCTAGCTGTGATGATGATCACCTTGTCGCAGTGATGCATGTTAACGCAGAGTTGCATTGGGGGTAGGGTGTGGCCCTGCTACACGGATGAAACTTTTTTTAAATTTAGCCTACATTTCCATACTTTGTTATTGTGAAATCATTCTAGGTGATGCTACAATTTCAGTTTTCTTTTAAAAATATTGCTTGTTGGAGGGATTTTAATCAGCAAAACTACTCGCACTATAAAGAAAGTTGTTCAAATACATCCTATAAGACAAATACTTTGAGCACTATAACTGACAATAGGTCCCACATGAATACAGGTTAAAAGTGAAATGAATTATCCACTATCCATAAATTAATATGTTAACAACTCATGAAAGCATTGTGTGGATTCTTCACAAACAAAAGGTGAAAGAGAGACACCCCGAAAAGGCACTCAGGTGTAAAACCATTTGCCTCACTCTGGCTTTTGAAACCAAATCACACACAATCACACGTTTTTCTGTAGTAAGAATAAGACTACAGCACATATTGTTTGAGATATAGTGCAGTCTTTATCTAATACTTTTCTATTCTATATTATGTCTTACACTTGTACTTGTCTGGGGGGGATTGTGTGTTACGTCATGTGTGTGCGTCCACCGCTAATCTCACATGAAGCTACTAGCATCATTTCTTTTGTGGTCATTTTATTATCTTTTATGCCAAATCCTACTGCTTCATTAGGTAAGGCCTTTTCTGTTTTCGTTATTTTTGCCACCATCTTGACCGTAAGGGAGCCATGATAGACAAGATAGACGGAGATCTGACCTCTTCTGAGTGCACTTTTCTCGTTCAATATTAAGATTTGTGTACCTTGTGGTATTTTTAGATCCCTCTGACACAGTGATGTCCCTAAAGCGGCCCGACCAAGCAAGGAGGCAGAGGCAGAGAGTTCAAATACAACCCGGTGTGGGCATTTATTCCTCTTTGTGGTACAGGATACACAGCCTCAATATGACTGTCTCACGTGAACACAGTCACCAGCCACCAGGACCTCACACACACACACTAACAGGAAAACAGAACCTAAATACACACAGGACTAATCAAACCAACAAGACACAGGTGAGGAGGGAGGAGAAACACAGGGCACCAGGTGAACACAATCACCAGCAACAGACAAGACGGGAGGGGGAACACTTTTCAAACTAAAACAGGAAACAGAGACAGACAAACTAAAACATAGACAGATTGTGACAAATATATGCATAAATGACATATAATCACATGCTTCCTGTGCAATGTTTTAGCGTGGAACAAATGAATATACTTCGCCAATAATGAAGCTATATAATCCGTAACGGAGACCGAGATCTATGGCCCCAGAGATCACCGCCGTTACAGCGTGGTCATGGAATTGTCTTTTCAATCCGTTCAGCTCTATTACATATGTGACTGCGAGAAGACATTTCCCGAGGACGTTCAACAAATTGGTTATTTTGGGAATCAAACATTATCAATCCTTTCGCAGCTTCCCCATTTCTGATCAAAAACAGGAGGTGAAACTCCTAACGCACAAGGACACTTCAGCATTACATATCTTTGCCTAAATTGTGTAAAAGGATTAAATGGATACCTCTTGAAAATCACCATTTGATTCGTGACACAGTAGTGAATATGAAAAAGTGGGCTGCTACATAAATTCTTGTAACACTTTCTTCCCAGCCTACATCGTGTGTTGTGTTGAGTTTGTGTGTCAGCATCTCATGGATGACAAGGTGCTGTTCACAGCAGTGAGCAGATCGGTAGGCTGCACTTCAAAACATTCTGCAGACCACGACCGTGCAGAGGGCTCTGCACCGCTCTGCTGCAATGATCCCATTTGACAGAGCCGAGAAGAAGGTTACAGCTGGGGCGTGGTTTGATATCTCGCTGAATTATCTCACAACAGGCTCCAACAAACACCACAAAGACGTGCTATTGTTGTCTGCGACAAAAAAAAATGGACCAAAAGTTGATTCTGGTGATTCTGATGATTTGTCATGGTAGGTTCAACCTGAATATTTAAATTATTTTCATGAACTTTTGGCAGCTTTAAGGTGTCCTTCAGCCTGTTTCTTATCATCTTTCGCTTTTGGGGTCTTGAAAACACACAGTTGGCTGATAACTGCTCCCTTTGTTTCATATTTTCCAGAAATGACTTCAGGAGCTGTCATAGACCTGGCAGTGAAGGAAGGGAAGATGGTTCGAATAAATTGTGTTCCTCGTGAAAAGGGCAACTTGGTCATCTGGTTTCGACATCTGGACACAACTGGCATGGAGTTCATTGCATCTTTCTCCATTAACGGCATGCAAAAGTCTGCTCAAGAGTCCTTTTCCGAATTATTCGGGCACTCCAATGATTCGCCAAATTCTTTAACAGTGAAGGCTTTCCAAATTCGGGACAGCGGCGTTTACAGCTGTGCTTCGCTCAAAGACAATAAACTGATATTCGGCAACCCAACACGACTGTTCCTAGGTGAGGTGTTCTTTGATTCTTTTGGGCTAATGGTGATATAATGGATTCTTTTCAGTATCACCTTCCTTCACTTCTGTTATCTCCTTCACACATCTGTCCTCTCCCTTTAGAAAAAGTTAAAGTCCCAGTAGAAGAAACGACGCAGGCCACTGAGCAAACAAAATGCACGACTGCCTCGCCGTGTGTTTGTGAGAGCGGTAACAAGCCAGGTAAATGTCCATACCTCTGTTTCATACCTCTGTTTCTCTGAGCTTTTATTATCTTCACTGTGTTTGATGCTGGTGGCAAATGGATTTGGATTGCAGGGGAAACCAGTCCTGAGATGTTTTGCTCTCTAATCATTCTGGGCCCACTGGCTGGCGGCTGTGGCCTTCTTCTTCTACTCCTCATCATCACCACCGTGTACTGCAACCGTAAGTTCATGTCATATCTAAAACCCATGATAAAAACCCTGAAAATGCTTTAATAAAAATTATGAAATTCTGCAAATGTTCCCCAAGATTAGTTTTCTGCTTTTCTTGATTTTGATGTTTATAAAGATTTGTAAAATGTCTGATCATTCTTGATGTCATGTAGACGTAAGGACACGGAGATGCCCACACCATTACAAAAGAAAGTAAGTCGTTTTCTATTTATCCAACATTGTCTTTCCAAGTAGAAATACTAAAGCCACCCCAACCCTGACACCAAAACGAAAGTGTTGTATGTGTTGTTTTAAAAAGTATATATATTTCTGTATTTATTTGGCTGTTTAATATTATATTTAGCATATTTTAAATTAATCTGAAATGTTCTTTTAATGAAACTTCTCTTTAAATCTAAAATGGCTCATAAACATTACATACCAAACTGTAACTTAATTTCCTGTCTGAACTTCGTCTCCATTTTCCTGTAATAAGTAACAAATTCTTAGCAGATTTTATTTTCGGGACACTATAAGAAACTGTTACACCCCTAAAATAGTGTTAATAAATACCGTTTACTAACCCAGGATTATTTTTGGAGAAAAGAGAATTCTTGTTTTTTTTTAAAGGCAGTGTCACGTTTCGAAACGAGGGCATAACCTCTGTGTTTTTAAATGTATCTACGGCCCGGAGGTGCTTTGTGATTGAATTTATTCACACCAAAGTAACTGCATTAGTATTAAGTTATTATTTGTGTTATTATTAAATATGTAAATACCTTGTTTATCCCACACAGGCCGCGGGTGATGGCTCCTGGAAAACAACTGATGACCAACAGTCATGTTTGATGCAAATGGTGACAATTATTTTCTTTTCATCCAACAGCATTTTTTTAATAGTGTTGTTTTACTGTCTTATTTCAGCTTAATCACATTCATGGTCACTGTTTTTCTGCTTAAACATTTTCATTGTTTTTGATAGTTAAAGAAAATGTTCAGTTTATAAATACTTTCAAATATCTTCATCGTCAAAGTTTTACCTGCATTGATAACGACAATAATGCACTGCTTTCTCATTTAGATCGAACTCTAATTGGAATAACTTGAAATGAAATGTCTATTCATCCGAATATTGATAATAAAAACACACTGAAGTCCTGAGAATTTTAGAAGTAAGCCTAGATATGTTTATATTAAAGATGATGACATTTTTTATATAATTAATTTTGCTTTTGTATATAGCCATGTGACAATTTCATCGGAAAACTGTTGACTTGTACTGTACCCTCGTGATTTAAAAAAAAAGTAGAACGGCACCTTCCTTTACTTATAAAATAAAATATATATAACTAAAGATATAAACATAATTTGCTATTGAACATTTTAGAGTTTGATTTTTATTTAGTAAAATGTTTTTTTGTCGTTGGGTTCAGAGTTATCAGACCCAGATAGTAACACTTTTTCATTTAAATGTTTTAATTGGATGTACAGTTTTTGTGAATTATCCTACTTTTTAGATTTGTTGTAACTTGAAATTCAAATAAAATATATTGTCACTCAATCAAAAACAACATATTATTTATTATTCAAACCCACTCATTTGCCAATTTATCATCTTGGTCTTGGCGCAGAAATATGAAGTTTACATGAATTTTGAGCAAACGCTTTTTTGAGCCCCTCGGAGTAAAAAGGAAGTGGGCTGCTAAGTCTGCATGCAGAGTGAAAAACCACAAAGTCAAGATCGTGTTATTGGAGATTCGGTTCCCGTTCAGTGCGTACTGTATAAATGTCCTGTTGTATTTGTTCACATATTAAGGCACTTCATGTTAGTTTCTGTTTCTCTCTTTTGACACACACACACACACACACACACACACACACACACACACACACACACACACACACACACACACACACACACACACACACACACACACACACACACACACACACACACACCAGACTCTACATACAACACCGTTTTTATAATTTTTTTAATTAGCATTCCCTCATCTAAAATACATCTCACATCTTTTCAAAACCTTTGACATGAAAAAATGAAAACAAGGGTGCCGTATATTGATTTTGGACTTTACATTTTAAAAGCCTTTAAAAATGATACAGTGTTGTCTTTAATAGAGCATAGTACTGAAATATGACAGAACACCACATTGTACTTTAATAGCAAACATTAAAGGGCCCATGTCATGGCCATTTCCACTGATCATAATTCCATTGTTGAGGTCTACTAGAATAGATTTATATTGTGCAATTTTCCAAACTCACATTGGTTTCTCATACAGCATCTCTGTAAACTACGTGTATTCACTGAATTTCACTCTCTGCCTTTAACGACTCGTTGTAGCTCCAATAGCTCCAGCCCCCACCCTCCCTGTGAGCACAGTGTGCTCTGATTGGTCGGGACGTTGTGAATCGCGCTGAGCTCCGTGGAGGTGTTGTTTCCTTGTTAGCGATACACAGCCAAACTCATCCTGAGCACACACAAAGTCACAGCCGAAGTAAAAACAATAAGTGTGGCTTGATATTGAGTAAGAAAAAGGTTGATAAACGCTGTGAGAATGGGTCTGCAGAGAGAATTTCCCAACTGTCTGTTATCAGCCTGCAGCCAGGGAGGAGAAATCAGCAGAGCTGCTGCCTGCACATAGAGTGTGTGTGTGAGGAAGTCCGTGGATTGGTCAATTTGGACCAATCAGCGGGGGCTTAACGTAACGGCTCCGCGGACATAACATGACGGCTCCACGGATTGGTCCATTTCGTTCCGGGTACGGCTTGACATCATGCCGTACCCGGAACGAAATGGAAGAATCAAATGGACAATGACGTATCTCCAACGAGGCGTTTTGGGGAGGTATTTTCTGTGTTAGAGTTTTACTCGCTACAGGGTGTACTTTGAGGGTTTGTGACTCTGCACACCGTTTACATGCATAAAAACCTTCATAACACACAAGGGGACGGGTAATAACCGGAAAAGCATGACATGGGCCCTTTAAGATTTCCATAGAAGGAGGAACTATAAATGTAAATATTATAAATAACAGTGTATTTCCCGTGCTACCTTCAGGGGCTCTGAGTCCAGCACAGGAGGTTCCAGCTTTGTTGTGGCAGCGCCTGAAGCGACGGGTGCTACAGGTAGAGAGGCAGCAGCAGAGAAGTCACTGGACAGCAGGTCCAACGCTGTCTTATCATCCATAGACTTCTGCAGAGAGACAGGAAGTGCATGTGGTTTATACACAGTGAACTTTACACCATTTAACAGTGCTCGATTGTCTACTGTCATATTCTGAGACTGTGTGTGTGTGTGTGTGTGTGTGTGTGTGTGTGTGTGTGTGTGTGTGTGTGTGTGTGTGTGTGTGTCCTTTAAAACAACATTGGTAAACATTAGACTAATAGTAAAATTACTACAAGCTGTAAAAATCATATATCATGCATATCACAGTAGATATTCAAATCAACAAACCCACAGAGTTCTGTTTTAAAGCTTACGGTAGTTAAGGTAGGGACAATGGGCGCTTTCACACCGGAGTACTTATAAATAAAATAAATTGCTCTTATTGTCATTTCACAGTACAGGTACTATGTAACGAAATTGTTCCTCTGCATTTGACCCATCCTAGTGTTAGGAGCAGTGTGCTGCCGTGGACGGCGTCCGGGGAGCAGTGTAGGGAACGGTGCCTTGCTCAGGGACACCTCGGTAGCACTTGGTCTTGCCGGGACTCGAACTGGTGACCTTCCAGTTGCCAAGCCAAGTCTCTATCGACTTCGCCACCACCGCCATGGTATACTTTTCCCAGTATAGTTCCGATATAGTCCCGAAAATGTGCGTTCACACCAAAAAAATCCGGAACTAGAACTAACGGCGCCATTTCCACTACAGCGCGGAGCTTGCTTTAAGCGTGCCGTGCCGGGCCTGTTTTTGGTTGCGTTTCCACTTGGCGTAGTTCCGGCTAGCGGGTACTATTGGAGAGAATCGCTGGCAAGGGGGCTACAACTAAATGAACATATTTGACCGTGATTTTATTGTAATACACGTTTTCAAAATGATGCTGAAGTAACAACATACTGATTAGTTGTTAGTAAAAACCATGAATTAATGCTTTGACAAGTCTGCAGACAGACGGCAGGCAAAAAACCTTTTAAAATGCGTGTTTTCTAAATGAGATCGGCTAAGCTAACGCAGTACAGATGGAGCATCTTATTTCAGACTCCAGCATACAGCTTCCTGCCTACTACCAGCCAGTTACCTGCCTAAGACCTGCCAAAGACCAGTATCTGGGAATGTTAAGCCCTCCCACTATTTTCCAAGAGGGCGTTGCCAGATTTTCAATTTCAGGATTTAACCAGGAGATGGCGCTATATATTAAATAACTATGGCCAAACTAAGACTTAGTTTTTCACAAGAGAAAATGCAGATATTATATAAAAAACTAAAGTTAAAATCTTGTTTTTAATGCCCCAAGAGCAATAAAAACACTTGTTAAAAAAATCCTGAGTGAGGCTTTCATAAATTGCATTTAGCTGACGCTTTTATCCAAAGTGACTTACTATTTAATAAGTGATAAATGATTATTCATAACAAATATGAGTGATGTGTGATTATTATTCATGCTATATACTGATATAGGGCTAAGTAAGCAATCAATCCTGCAAATTAACCCTTAGTTGTTCAATATATTTATTCAGACATTGTGAGTAGAAATACAGAAATTCTGCTCCCACCTAAGGCCAACGTTGCAATATTACAACATTTCCCTAAAAACTTACCAAAACGTAAACATTTTTAAAACTCTTTCATTTCTGCTCCAGAGGCCAGGGGTTAAATTGGGATTTGATGTGTGGGGGGGCTCTGTTAGAAGGTGCGACGTGGGGGGGGGGGGAGAGAGAGTTAGACGCTCGTGAATTGTCAACGGGGGGGTTGACATCAGAGCATCGTCCTATGGGCTTAGCCCCGGACAGGTACAACAGGTATTCACTCAGAGGGGGGTACTAAATGCCACACATTTACATGTAGGCAAACAAAATCAACATACAGTAGGGGGGTGGGGGATGGTGAATCAGCTATGTTACTATTTATAATGTTATTGTTGTTACAACAGAAGATGTTTTTCTTTATATTGAAGTTAAATGCATCAATCTGGTGCACTTTGAGGTCAAAATTAAGAGATTTATGGATACCGCTGGAAAAAGCTGTGTGTGAAAGTTTAAATCTTCCTTATTGAGCTTTAAAACAAATGAATAACGACTATATATAATAATAAAATAAACACCGGCTGTTGTTATGCCTGCTGTAACGTTAAATTACTCCGTTCTCCGCTTAAATAATTATGCCGTTACAAAGCTTCATAGTTGTATTTATCATCTAAATTTGCCGAAACAAGTTTAATATTCTGAAAGCCAAGACTTTGTTTATTTGAAATCAGATGAAAACAAACTGTAACGGACCCTGCCGTGTTATCTTGATATTTCCGGCACAGACCCTTTCATACCGGCAATGCGCGATAGGAACTGCGACAGCATAAATATGCGAACACAAACCTACAGACTGCTGGAGAAGAGATATCACAGGGGGGGTTGGGACACACACATTCCGATGGCCAATTAGTTTTAAACAAAGAGTATAGCCTACTCAACAGTGGGGGCTGGTGAACGGTATGGTCAATGTTTGTAAACACTGTGACATTTTGACTTTATTTGATCATTTCAGTTAAAAACTAATTTAGTAATTTACAGGAAAGGAGTGCACGCTACTAAAGAGACACGCTACCATGGAAACCAAACAATGGTGTTGCTGTATTGAAGTCTGAGTGGAAACAGTCATATTTGGAGCGTTATGTTAGAATAAAACAGCCAGTTAGTGTTACTTCACTAACTGTAAGCTTGTCACTTAGGCCCCACTCACACGGGAACGTTTGCGTTTATGCACAGTATGCGTATTCAAAAAAGTATTCCGTTCACATGCATTCGTTTAATTTAATTTAATTCAAACGAGGCCGCTGGAAACGCTGTAGTACATATGCCGGGACTGTAAGTGTCGCTGTAACTTCCGCCAAAATACACCAAAAGCAACGAAGAAGAGCAGCCCGAGCAGCCCCGCCGCAATGTTGCCATGGCTACCCTTCTGTTTAAGCCCCGCGGTGTATTTAGCAACATGTAGTTCATGTAATTCTCCATGTCCACTTGTTGCTGATGGTTGTGGTAGAGGAGCTGTAGATTTTGCACTAATATCTGTAGCATGGTCAGTAGCAGTAGCACTAGCAGTAGCTACTGACAGGAGGAAGTGTGTGTGGCGATTGCTGGTATTCAGCGGGATATAGTCATTTCCTCAGCATATGGATAAATGCAACGGGGAAGTTAACTGAAAGAAACCGAATCTGTGGATATTGCATCGACCGACCAAGAAGCACGTCTCTGTGGAGAGGACGGCTCAGAAAGAGAGATATTCTCTACAAACACCGGGTGAGATCGCTCCTTTGTCAATATAATGGATCAATGCATGAAAACTGACTCTGTTTATTTTGTTTAAGGAGTATATTGGGCGTTAACAATTCTGGTTTGCCTTTTATAATATTATTTCATTCAAGAACCCCTTGTGCGTTTAATTAACACAGCTATTTTTGATAGTTGCTACAGCAGTGAGCAGGAGAGGTGGGGAGAGGTAGGGCTGTCGCTATTTTTTCAGGAAATATTCGTATAGAGGTGATTACACGGACTCGGTTGACCCCCCAGAGCATTTAGTTTGCAAATCTATCCACCTTGGGACCCGTTATCGTTTGTGGGGTCAGTTTCTATCGGCCTCGTGTAAATAATAGGGCTATACGCACGCGAAACTATGCAGATACAAGCAGTTTTCTCCTCGTGTAAACGGCGCCTCAGAGTAACCTACAGTTAACTTAACTGTTGGAAAAGAAAGATCAGGGGGGGGAGAGAGCTGTGGGTGATGGGCCATTAGGTTTGTAAACACACAGCTGAGAGCTGCCGTTTCATTCTGACTGTTTAAAAAACGGTAACAACGGACTATTTTTCTTGGCGGATGCATGTACATTTAAATCAATACATACAACTATTTTTTAAATCAATAAAAACATTTTCTAAATCCATAAAAGAATATTGGGAGTCATGTCGTAACTTGGTTGAGAATGTGGCCATGTAATAAGCGGGATAATTTGCAGCGACTTGGTCATTATGGGGAAAAATAACACCCAGGGACAGGGGCGGACTGGGACTACAAATCAGCCCGGGACTCTCGACCGGCCCACTTCGGTACCGCCGGCCCACCTCGGTAAATTATCAACGGGGGGGGGGGGGTGCTAGTGAGTTATCCGAGCGGCCCACCTCGGTGCCGCAAGTAATTACCGCGAGGAAATTGTCGACGGGGGGGGGGGGTGCTAGTGACTTATCCGAGCGGCCCACATCGTCCGACCGGCCCACTTCAGTACCGGCCCATCGGGATTCGTCCCGAACGTCCCGATGGCCAGTCCGCCCCTGCCCAGGGATCAAGATCCCTCCGCTACGCGGATCTTAATTTGCCTGACAAGGCTCCATTAAAATATAAATATGTTTAGTGAATTACTGAGTTTAGGCACGTTAATAACATTTTAATGAAGTTGAATACAGTATATTCATATTTGTCAGTGATTTCATGTCAATTCGGCGAACATAAACATAAATGATCGTGGTGAAGATGATGATTAAATTAGGATTAAAAATCGAGAGCCGGCTGCTTTCCTCTCGTTCGACAAAATTATTTTGTTAAATAACAACATGGTGATGTTTTGTAAATGATTACATGTCTTATTTAGCACAGACTATGATCCTATCCGTGACATATGGATCTTAACAAAGAACCGCTATACATTAGTACCAGACATATTGTGGTGATTGACATTATTCACCCACGGATCTATGGGTTAGGGCAGGGGTACTCAAATACAAATCTTAAAGGTCCAAAAAAAAATGTTTCAATAAGACAAAGGTCCGTTTATTACGGTCATTCAAACTTTTAAACAATTGCAACAAGATTCTTAACACGAGGTTGCAAAAACAAAAATAATCTGTATGCAGCAGTTTTCATTGTTATTGTGTCTGTGCTTGATCCCTCAGAGTCGCAGTGTGAGCTGCACAGCTATGAATAAAGGCAGCTGCACCCTCTTTCATTCAGCATTCCCATTATTGCTTTATAAATGTCTTGCCCCCTTGTGTGTCCACTGAGGTTCGTCAGGCCCAACACATCTTCAACAAACTCCCCCTTTGCCTCATCATAAAAACTCACAAACACCAGCAACTGAGCATTGTCAGTGGTGTCAGTGGACTCATCCACAGCTAAGGAAATGCACTGTGCATTTTTTATTCCATCACAAAGCTGATTAATCAAATCACCAGCCAGTATTTATGTTCTTCTGGTTGCTGTGGAATCTGAGAGGGGGATTTGCTTGATTTGACCTGTTATTTCCTCTTTTTGTTTGCCTTCAAACATGGTCTCCATCACTTCAGTCATGCATTATTTTATACTTCAGTTATTATCCAGTGGAAAGTCCTTACCTACTGGCCTAGTTAAATCAAAGTGGTTACTTTTTTTTGGCTGGGCAGTGTAGTTTTACACATTGTCTTATTTGACTTTCTCGGGACTTAAAACTGTTTTTTGGGGGCAGACCCCCACAAAGAAAAAAATATATTTACACACGTAAGGTCATCATCTTAACAGTTTTGTATGCTCATCCGTGAGCAGAGCATCAAGTTGACATGTCTATTACAGCTGAATGTGGCGATTACCATTTTGTTCAGCAAAACGCCTCACAAACGTATTAAGATCCACAGCTTTAGTGCGTTTTGATTCAATGCTGAGTACAGCCAAACTTGACAGTTTCTTCTCTGTCATTGTAGACCGCAAATACCTCATTCCTTCAGTACTTGGGTCCGAATGCTTCTCGTTTTGCGCCGTCCCGTTCAAATGAAATCGCCGCCAATCCGCCGGGGGAGGGGTTACAAGACGTGCATCTTGTGCTGCATTCACTTGCACTCGGACATTAGAGACTTTCTCTCATAAATGTCAGATGAGCCACAACTTTTCTTTCAAAACAAAGCTGCCAACTGGGGTGGCAGCTGGGGTGGCAAGTTGCCACACCATGCCACCCCGGTAGGTGAAACTAGGCTACTAGCAACAGTACAGATGCAACTGGATGAGCTGTTAACTCTTGCTCTGACTCAGACAGACCCGCCCTACTGTGCCTCTGATTCGCAGACTGTTGGTGGGGGGAAAAAACGCTGACGGGATGCTGAATGTGATTGGACCAAAGCGTTGACAGACACACACAGACAGTGGAACAGTCTGACATGCAGAGCGCTGTATGCAGCGGACATAGCGGAGAATGTTGACTCGTTGCGTTGTGGCGATGTCTCACAGATAACACAGATAATACAGATAATACATATGAAAAGTATAATTTGCTCAGAGTCCAGAGACAGTTGTGGTTCGGTCCGGATCCGGACCGGAGTCCGGACTTTGAGGATGCCTGGGTTAGGGTATTGTTCCGCACGGACATTTTTGTGAACCAGACCAGCTGTTTCCGCCGGTCTTCGCTTCCCGGGCATGAAGTTGTTTACATGTGTGTTCAGATGCTAAATAAAAGTTTAGCTTTTACTTTTGATACCCCGCCTCCGACTCCCGTCTCTCGGCACCACAACATCCAGTTTACTATATCGAAGTTGATTTCACATGAGCTCCAGTGTGGAACCCCACTGCAACCCCTGGTGGATCAATGATCCATTGCAGCTGGCTTCACAATAATTAAATGTATTTATCACGGGGGCGGTATCAAGTCAGACTGGGGGCCGGCTCTTCATCACGGGCCGATCACAGGCCGATCACGGACCAATCACGGACCAATCACGACCCTCGTGTTTCAAACTGTCCAAAATAAAACGCTCCATCTGTATATACTCCGACCGTCCACACTCACAACAACGGCCTATACAGACATAAATAAACCAGCGACTGTATTCGCCATGACACAGACAGTCTGTGGTTTGTACTTGTTTAACTGTTGTCTAGTTTCTGAACAGATATGAGGAGCTGTGAGCTTGAGTGCTAACAGCTAACGGCTGATGTTGTTTTTCTGTGGTTCTCATTGAAGATGACGTCACGGCTCCGTCTACACTGCGTTACTATAGTTGCTGCCCCAGCTACTAAACTGTAATGGAAACGCAGCATAAAGTGAGCCAGTCCTAACAAGGCCTAACGAGGCCTAGCCATACCAAGCGAGGCCCTGTAGTGGAAATGCGCCATACTGAGAAATGAGAACCTTTTCAACCCCTTTTCAGTCCCTGCTAGAGAGCAGGTACTTTCATGGGAGAAAAAGGTTCCCATTTCTGATTGGCTGGGCGGATTGCAAACCACGCCCCGTAAAACTCCCAAAAAGTTTTGTGAAGCCGCCATTTTATTTTCCTCGCATTAGCATTATTAGCATTAGCATTAGCCCAGTGCACAAACGGAGAGAGACTCATTTATGGCAACACAAAAGAAAACATGGGAGCGGTGGAGATGAGGAGGTGTCGGCGTTTCTGGCGATTTACTCGGAAGGCTTCAGAAGCCAGTCCCCAACTCCGGGGACTTCGGGTGGCAGTATACGCCGTGAAGTTGTTTGCGGCCTGCCAGTATATCCAAAGCAGAAGAAGAAGAAGTGACGTCAGCGGCTTCATTTGCCTAATCCTCCCTCAGGGACTTATTGCGGTGTGAACGCAATCTGCTCTTTAGTTCATCACTAAGTTCTGATGAACTAAGTTCTGATGAACTAAGTACGGCAAAGTACTTGGTGTGAATGCGCCTAATGTGTCTTCTTTATTACATTCTCTATTTTATAACTAAATAATATTTCACTGTTGTTTCAGCATGAACTTTAAAACAAGAATATATAAATGATCATATTTCTAAAACATGCACTAATACTTTGAATTATGCTCCACCAGCTGCTAACCTAAACCTAAATTGTTAATCAACCAGGCTGATGGGCTCTACTAAGTGGAAAAGTCCCACATTTAAATTAGTCTCTGGGATACACATGTCTGTTGAAAATGTAATGGCAAACAATCATACAGGTCTTTAGATATTTCAGTCTGGATGAAACACTCAACACTTGGCTAAAAAATGAAGTACGAAATTGCAACATAAAAATGCTACAGGAAGATGGACACCTTTAAAATTCCTGAGAGGCCAATATGAAACAAATTCTGGTGACTTTTTTTTTTTAAGTCTGATCGATATAGTTTTCTAATGTTTATGGCTTTAAAGAAAATCTAAGTTAGCTTATTTTACTAATTCCATTTGTTAAAACAAGTAGACAAGTTATGGCCTGTCATAGAAAAGTTATTTTGTGTCTGAATTATTGTCAGTGTTTGTTACTGTAGTACCAATTCTGACCACAAGAGGCTGAAGGGCAACATTACCATTATTTATGGTCCTTGGTCTTGGAATGACCTTCAATCACGCCTCAAACTGGGCACTTGTCTCAATAGCATGTTTTAAGTTGAACTTGTCTGAGGTCCTTACCACCAGCTGCTCTTGCAGTAATAAGTAGTGTACCTTTCTTACTGTCCTAGTGTGCACAATGTAGTGACTGCTTTTTCGTCTTTTGTTTTCTTGGTTACTGTATGTTCTCTGTATTTTATATGTTTGTGTAATGTGTTATGTGTAACGTTGCTGCCTTCTTGGCCAGGTCAGCATTGAAAATGAGATTTTATCTCAATGCTTTTATCTGGTTAAATAAATAAAAATTACCAATGTTCTAAATAGTAAAAATACATAGTTTTCTTACAAGTTAGGTTTTCATTTCTCCATGCATTTTAAACACATAGTCCACATATTGTGTGAGAGCCAGTCACTAACTTTCAAACCAAGAACTATCAGGCTTGGATAGTTGATCAATACATGTTTCCCTACTGGCCTCTCAAGGCTTCCGTACACAACAGAAACAAAGGGAGATATAAGACTGTTTTTTACCCCAGTGGGTCGATACTCTGGTGGCAACGTGTCGTCTCTCTCCCCCATCTTAATCAGCCTTTCTTCTTTCAGCTTCTCCTCCTGCAAAAAAACAAATTCAAAAACAGATTACAATCAGAACAGCTGAAGTGACTGGCCGACAAATACAAAAATATTCTCTCTCATGTTACATTGACGAGGTCTTTTGTAGGAACTGGGGCGGGCATAGGGACGGGTGTGATGTCCTTCAAGGTGTCTGACAGAGCATCCAGGGCCTCCAGGAAATGGTCTGCTCCTGCGGCCAGCTGAGGGCACAAACACAGACAAAAATATTCCGATCTTGTTACTGCAGGGATTAAGAGAGTCCAAAAAAGGCTTGAGATGTACTCGTGCTGTGTTTACATCTGCGGCAGATTCTGTGGGAGCACATGCAGCGGACTTCAGCGTCGACGCAGCCGAGGAGGAAACAAAGGCCCCACTCACACGGGAACGTTTGCGTTTATGCACAGTATGCGTATTCAAAAAAGTCTTCCGTTCACATGCATTCGTTTCATTTAACGTGTCTGTTCAAACGAGGCCGCTGGAAACACTGTAGTACATATGCCGGGACTGTAAGTGGCGCTGTAACTTCCGCCAAAATACACCAAAAGCAGCGAAGAAGAGCAGCCCGAGCAGCCCCGCAGCAATGTTGCCATGGCTACCCTTCTGTTTAAGCCCCGCGGTGTATTTAGCAACATGTAGTTCATGTAATTCTCCATGTCCACTTGTTGCTGATGGTTGTGGTAGAGGAGCTGTAGATTTTGCACTAATATCTGTAGCATGGTCAGTAGCAGTAGCACTAGCAGTAGCTACTGACAGGAGGAAGTGTGTGTGGCGATTGCTGGTATTCAGCGGGATATAGTAATTTCCTCAGCATATGGATAAATTCAACGGGGAAGTTAACTGAAAGAAACCAAATCTGTGGATATTGCATCGACCGACCAAGAAGCACGTCTCTGTGGAGAGGACACGCTCAGAAAGAGAGATATTCTCTACAAACACCGGGTGAGATCGCTCCTTTGTCAATATAATGGATCAATGCATGAAATCTGACTCTGTTTATTTTGTTTAAGGAGTATATTGGGCGTTAACAATTCTGGTTTGCCTTTTATAATATTATTTCATTCAAGAACCCCTTGTGCGTTTAATTAACACAGCTATTTTTGATAGTTGCTACAGCAGTGAGCAGGAGAGGTGGGGAGAGGTAGGGCTATCGCTATTTTTTCAGGAAATATTCGTATAGAGGTGATTACACGGACTCGGTTGACCCCCCAGAGCGTTTCGTTTGCAAATCTATCCACCTTGGGACCCGTTATCGTTTGTGGGGTCAGTTTCTATCGGCCTCGTGTAAATAATAGGGCTATACGCACGCGAAACTATGCAGATACAAGCAGTTTTCTCCTCATGTAAACGGCGCCAAAGTCTCCCGCCAAGGCGTCCAGAGCAAAGTCTGCAGAGGGCTGAAGGAGTGACCAAATATAGCAGGGTTGCCAACTCTCACGCATCTGGCGTGTGACACACGCTTTCACTCTCAATCTCACGCTCTCACGCTGCCCAAACTATTCTCACGCCAAAACCAAGAATACGAAGACTAGAAACAGTTTTTAAAACTTTTGTCACGTAGTGATCGTCTTCTCAATAGAACATCTTTGATAATGTCTTCTGGCCAATCAGAATCACGATAACGGCGTGGTGTTGTTGCAGGAAGTCCCGACGGAGAATACTTTTGCGGTAGTACATCTCTATACATTGATACAACATTACGTGTTGATAGAAATCAACACGTAATGAAATAAGACCCCACGGTTTGATGATTGATAGGTGTGTGGGCTGTCTTTCATTTTGACACACAGAACAATGGGGGCTATCCACTCTTATCCACAATGTAAAGTAATTCACACAGCCTCTTCCCTCTCTCTGTGAGGAGCAGCACTGCTGCAGCAGGTTCAGCTTTCAGAACAAAGTAACAAAAAACTAATATGGCATTCATTTTTTTAAATGTGTAGTAATAGATTTATTTATTTTTCTTCTCAAGAGAGTACCAGAATGTGTATTTTATGTTAGTATTTAAAAAAATCTCCTGGGGGAGAATCCCCCCAGACCCCCCTGCAGGGCTTGGGTTTTCTGCATGTCAACTCTTTCACCTGTGGGGAAATTGCACGATTGGCTCCAGGACGCCCTTTTTATTTACTACAAGACAAATGTGCCTTTTTATTTCATAGAGTTCAATTTGGATTGAGACAGGGAAATAATCTAAACCTCACGCGTGGCGTTTCACTGTCAAGGGGGGAGCATGTAATTACATTGCAAATACTGACTTGAGCCCCACCACTGTATGGGTTAGCCCTACCATAGATTACCCAACAAAAATACTCTGGAGCGCATGCGCAGATCTAAGATCCAGTAGAAATGATAAAAAAGTAAAAGTCTGCTGCTTATTGTTCTACTACTGTAGGCCAAAATAGAGTCAAAGAGTATATGAGAGTGAGAGTGTGTTAATTAATATATTTGGCAGTTTGGAGTAAGTCTGTAGATTTGTTTGTGTGTGTGTGTTTCATGTATAGGCCTCTCACGATAATTAATTTTGTTGGATACATTTTCCCGGAAATTATTGCGATAAACGATAATATTCTCGGCACCGTTGTATGACCATTTTAGACCACTGACATAATGATAATATATAATAATAGTTCAAGTACATCCTTTCAAACTGCTAGTCACATCCTCATGTAAATGGCAATTTATCGAGGTCAGAAAAGTTATCGAGTTCATTTTTATTTATCGTACGATAAGTCAATTAATTGCTTATCGCGACAGGCACACAATAAAACAGTGGAAACAAACATGTTTGACTTTCATTAGTGAATGAAACTGTGTGCCTGTGTCCATTATTGTGTATTTGTATATATTGTATATATATATCCTATATATATGCTAAGGTCCCGCTGCTGACACGATAGCAGTCATTTCGTGCGCATATGTGTAATTAAACCGAATTAAACCCATGATATCAAAATCTCACTCCAGCCAGGTACCCAAAGTTGGCAACCCTGTAATATAGGGTGTTTAATTTCTATGGGACTTTTCCAATGCGAAAAGATATCCTTGCATCACATTGTATTCTTTAGAGCTACATTAACCAGTGCTGGATCCAGTGTGTACCTGTGCAGGGGGGACTGAGGGGGTGATGACAGGAGCCTGGACCACAGGAGCGGATGAGGAAAACGCAAAGTCTCCAGATAAAAAGTCCAGAGCATCACCAGTGTTGATGGAGGGCTGCAGGACGAGGGCAAAATGTAGGAAAAAGATGATTAAAGTATGATATTGGGAGATAGATATAAGTTGAAATAAGGGTGAGATGTCTGATTTATCAATACTAACAAGGTAAAGAGTGTCAACCTATCATTAAACTAAAAATATTGCAGACATTTTTCTCACCTCAGGTTTAGGAGAAGGCCGTTTTTTGCGTCCCTCATTGAACCTGTATTCTGGAGGAATGGAGTCATCCCTCTCTCCTATGGAAATTATCCGACTGAACAAAACGTGATCCGTCTCTTAAATGTGTGTCAACCACAGACCTTATTTCGAGCTATTTTCCTAAATCCTATGGAGAAAGGAACCCATGCGCAGCTTACTTCCGGGTTTTAGGACGCGTCACTGTGGCACTCTATTGGAGTTAGGTGGCCAGGCACTTTTTTTTACAAAATTAAATGTTTTGATTACCTGTGGATAATTATTTAATTTATATGTTATTTTATTTGTAACTGCACTGCAGACAGAGTGCAGATCTACCTGGACATACAATGCAGACAATAGAAGTGTTTATAATACTCAACACATTTTAGCAATTGTGTGTCTAATTTTTTATCTATCAGTAATCGGCTACCCTGCTCTCAATATTGACATCGACCTTTCAAAAAACGTACATCTGTTGACCCCTACTATATCTACCATTGATTATGTAAGACATGATAAGGCAACACAATCTTGTGGATTAGGTGAAGCAAAAACCACAGTTTGAGTTTTTCTAATGGGAGTGATTGTGGGTCTGTGAGTGTCCCATACCGAGATGATGTCCTCAGGTCTGAGTTTGGGGAGTTCAGCTTTAAGGAGGTCTTTTGGCAGCGTGTCACTGAGAGCACCGAGAGCATCCAGAGAGAAGGAGTCACCCTGAGGAGACAAGGAGAAGAAGAATATAATGAGACTGTCGTAAAAAAAATAGTGAGATAAGTAAAAGAAGATATATAATGCAAGATGAGGTGGTCCATTTATTTTTACTTTGTCTGCAGTTTAGACGCATGTACAAAAATGCATAGTAGTAATAGAAGCAATACCTTATCAGTCTTGGGTTTTGGCTGTCGTGGTTGTACATGGATGACGTCAACTTTGTTAGGGCGCTCCAGAGGACAAACCGTTCTCTACAGGAACACAAGGACATACTTTAGGACATGTAGGTGAAGCCGTGGGGGGACAGAAAACCCAAGGACTGACACAAAGAGCCCGCAATACAAAATCATTTCAATTTGTCATATAAACACACACACAAACACAGCAATAGCTTTACCTCTGGTGTCTTTTTCTTGGTTGCAGGAGGGGCAGGTGCCTGAACTCCAGAAGCTTTGGTTGCAGACACAAAGTCTTCAGAAAGCATATCCAGAGCTGACAAGTCCTCTACCTTATTAAACCTGTATTTTGGAGCAATGGAGTCTTCCCTCTCTCCTACAAATACACTCATCTCCTTCTTGTGTTTGCCCTCCTAAAAAAAAAGTTGAGGAGATAATAATGCCTGTTGAGTCTTTCTGTGAGAAACTGACACAAATGCTACCAATATGCCAACAGCCGAAGGTGTCCTCAAGGCTGTGAGCTCTGTGAGTGTTTGTGCTCCTACCGAGATGATGTCCTCAGGTCTGAGCTTGTGGCCGGTTTATCTGGTTTTATCTGGTGTACCAGCTAAACCAGATAAACCGGCCACCAGCTAAACCAGACATCCTGGCCAGTTAAAAAAACAGCATACCAGCGGCTGGTCACCAGCATCCATCTATCACCAGCTTATGTTTAATAATAGTATTAAATATGCCATGCTGGAAGCTTACCAGGATTCCAGGTGACCAGCATACATTGTTTAAATACTGGTATGATTATTTAAACCAGAGAACATGAATATACTGTATTACAAAGATTAATTGTGTCATGTATTCTGGTATCTAGCAAAAATAAAGACATTGTATTACATTACATTACATTACATGTCATTTGTTAGACGCTTTTATCCAAAGCGACTTACATACATTCAGTACTGTGGACAATCCCCACAGGAACAATTTGGGGTGAAGTGTCTTGCCCAGGGACACAATGACATGCTGACTGCAGTGGGACACACTCTCCACTGAGCCACAGCCTCCCATATTGTATAGTGTTCATAACAGTATTTTAATTTAATAAATAGCTAGTTAATATAATAAAATACACAGTAACAATACAATAATTATACAAATAACAACCAACCTGCAAATCAACCTATACATCAAAATAAATATATTATCTAAAGCAGGTGCATTTGATTTAAAATAAAAGTAATAAATAGAATTCAATATTTAAATAGTAATAAAAACAGTAACACTATGTATGATTAGAAAAAGGCAACAAAGAAAGTGTTTTTTGTTTTTCCTTGTTCATGTCCATAATGTTTCCCGTTGTGTAGCGTCCAGCCTTTCCCAATCTGGCCTGCACTTCTGTCTGTTGAAGCCACTTCTTGAAGCAAACTGAAAATAAATGTACAGATATAAGTACACTGTAAGGATTCAGGAACTTGTGAATCTTCAGGCAGAAAATATGAAAACACCTGTTCAAAGTTCCAGTTCCCTGTACATGGAACCATGCCTGTCCTCTGTTCCACATGTCTTCAGTTAGTTCTGGACCCTATGACTCGGACACTAGTTCTACCAAGGCTTATTAGAGGTAAGAGTGGTAGGAGAGGAGTGGAGTTATCTTTGTATTTAGGCTGCAAGTCGACACAGGTGATCAAATGCTGATGCTAAATGATCCGATTAATTTGATATTGATTGTCTGCCAATACCGAATCCTGATCCGATTCTTCTATTTCCCAGATAATACAGCTGCACCATGTACACTAGCTCTATTTGTTTTTGCCATTGTAATCATAAGCAATTGTTGACTGTAACGTCTATGCCAACCAACTGTAATTTGTAATGTATTTTACCATACTTTAACGGTCAAGATCTGGCAACCACAGCAGCCCAAATGTTAACGTAAAATGAACAAGGAAAAACAAAAAACACTTTATTTTTTCTAATCATACATAGTGTTACTGTTTTTGTTACCATTTAAATATTGAATTCTATTTATTGCTTTTATTTTAAATCAAATGCACCTGTTTTAGATAATATATTTATTTTTGATGTATAGGTTGATTTGCAGGTTGGTTGTTATTTGTATAATTAGTGTATTGTTACTGTGTATTTTATTATATTAACTAGATATTTATTTAATTAAAATACTGTTGTGAACACTATACAATGTCTTTATTTTTGGTAGATACCAGAATACATGACACAATGAATCTTTGTAATATATTTATGTTCTCTGGTTTAACCTGTTAAGCACCAAGCCTGTTTTTCATGTTTCAGGCTCGAAAATGACATGCCCAAAACAAATGACTACAACTTAACTTCTAAAAGGGTTATATGAATAATTTATTTTATCAAAGCAAGGGTACATCTGTGAGTTGGATGTAGAAGTGTCAGAATCAATATAGATGTTTTTTATTTTAAAGAAAATTCAGATTTTACATAGTAAAAAACTGTAAATTATAGTGTCCGTCCAAAAATTCTTTTTTACAGATAGTGAAAACTACCCTTGGATGATGGGTTAGTAGACTAAAAGCTTTAGGAATCCAAAGTACAACATATAATAAGTACCCTGTATCAAGATTGATGCAAAACAAGTGACATTTGACCTTTTTAGAGAGGTTTAGCCAAAACCACCCCACCTCTGAGGTGATTTGGGTGAAAATGGGGTTTTTTCTATATCTCTGGCCCCCCTTGGTCGATTTTGATGGTTGACACCTCTTTCTGACCGTTAGAGCCAATAGAATCGAAGGGGGAGGCCCCCACACACACATGTTGTGAACAGAAAAGGTGGGGGCTGCGCGCATGTAAATTTGCAGCAGAGTGGACCTATCTCTAGCTCTGGCATTTGGAAACGAAAAAGCAGTTGTATTGCTTATGGATTATCAGAAATCATTTCAAAGAGTACACAGACACATTGGATTAACCTATGGATTAACTGCAGCATCGTTTTTTTATCGTTTTAATGCCATTGAAGACCAGTTTTGACCAAGGTAAGCCATGTTAGCGCTTCTAGCTACCTAGCTCCACATGTTATGATGTACGCTTTCGTTTATAGCGTCGCAAATGTTTATCACTGAGTGTTGAGGTGGGCACCCCCAGATTCTGTATCTCCAGCTGATGCAAAACGAGGGTTTGGCTGTGCATCTAGGATAAGTAATAAGGGAGTTAGAGTGAGTTTAGGTGCAGAGATAGGTTATATTTTTTCGCTCGTGGCTAATTCAGAGGCTGAGTGTTAGCATTGTGGTTTAAAAAAAATAAAAAGATCAGTTAGCTGAGTTTCTTCCCGTTACATGGATATAAAACATTCATAGTTTATTAAATATTAAGATTCCTTAGACGTTGTTTCCTGCAAATGACGCGTTTATCCGCCCGGTACCGGGGGGGCCGTGCGTAACAGGTTAAATAATCATACCAGTATTTAAACAATGTATGCTGGTCACCTGGAATCCTGGTAAGCTTCCAGCATGGTATATTTAATACTATTATTAAACATAAGCTGGTGATAGATGGATGCTGGTGACCAGCCACTGGTATGCTGTTTTTTTTAGCTGGCCAGGATGTCTGGTTTAGCTGGTTTGGCTGGTTTAGCTGGTTTAGCTAAACCAGCCAAACCAGCCATCCTGGCCAGCTAAAGTATCCAAAACCCCTGACCAGCTAAGTTGGTCTAAGCAGATTTTTTCAGCAGGGAGAAGTGCATTACATATTAAAGTTTTAGAGAAAATGCATGTGTTTGTGAAGTAATGAGCATTCAACTGACTAAATGATACCTCTAAAGTGCACAAGTAGTTTGAGAGTTTGGAAATAGATGTTTAGATCTTTTTGCTGTTGTTAGACGCAGCCCCCATATAGTTATATCCATCAAACCTTAAAGGCTTGCGAGAAAATATTTGTCTTCATTAATTCAAGGTATCACAGGTTGAGTAATTGGCTTCCAACGGCCATTTTGTGGGTGAATTATCACGGAATAGTTATACCTGCTTGATAACAGCATTTTAGCGTTTTTATTGTGAGCATGATGTTATCTCCAAGAGCCACTGGGCCAGAGTACACAAAGCTGTTTTTTGCAAATCTGAATGCTGCCTCATTGCTTCTAGTTTCTGTTTGGATCACTTTGATACTTTCAAAAAAGTAAAAATTAGCCAAAGTCTGAGTCATAACAATCATCTTTTTCTTTGTTTTGTATCCTTGATGAACGAAGATGATCAACATTACACTGGATCAGAGATATGTGAGTGTGCTGTACCGTGGCAGTTGCAGCCTCCAGAGAGAAATCATCAGGGATTTTCTCCTGCATGAATTTGTTAGCAGGAGGACACACAGGGGCTTTCTGCAACAACCAACAAAGATAATGTAAGATACTGTATTCCTGCAATATGTGTACACTACTTTACTCAAAACATATGCATGTGTGAGATATCCACACTGTACCTGTGCAGGAGGAGCTGATGAGGAGTCCATGAAGTCTCTAGACAAAAAGTCCAGAGCATCAGCAGTACCCAAGGCCGTACATTCATCTCATATCTAAAACCCATGATAAAAACCCTGAAAATGCTTTTCTTGATTTTGATGTTTATAAAGATTTGTAAAATGTCTGATCATTCTTGATGTCATGTAAGGACACGGAGATGCCCACACCATTACAAAAGAAAGTAAGTCGTTTTCTATTTATCCAACATTGTCTTTCCAATTAGAAATACTAAAGCCACCCCAACCCTGACACCAAAACGAAAGTGTTGTATGTGTTGTATTAAAATATATATGTATATTTGTGTATTTATTTGGCTGTTTAATATTCGATTCTGCATATTTTAAATTAATTTGAAATGTTCTTTCAATGAAACTTCTCTTTAAATCTAAAATTGCGCATAAACATTACATACCAAACTCTAACTTAATTTTCTGTCTGAACTTCGCTCCATTTTCCAGTAATAAGTAACCCATTCTTAGCAGATTTATTTTGGGTATACTATAAGGAATAAAGTGTTAATAAATACCGTTTACTAATCACATGATTATTTTGGGAGAAAAAGATAATTCTTATTTTTTTCTTGAGAAAGTTACCTGTGCGCCAAGGAGGAAGTGGAGCACATCCCCTTCGGGCTCATCAAGATCTTTAGAAGATTCTTTAGCGGTTATTTTGGTAAGTAAGTCAAAAGTAATATAAAAGTAGTGTAACTCATTACATTTCAGAGACAGTAATATTGTAATGTAACTTATTAGCCTACTTAAAAAAGACAGTAAAGTAATATGTACTGTATTACATTTTGACTTGCCCAACACTGGCTGTAAGTAGCCTACGTGTGCCGCGAAAAGTGTAGTTGTGAAGAGGAGACGAGACAGAGCAGCCTATAGCGATTAAAATCAGTAAAACGGAAAGAAAATGAATGAAGTTGACCATCTACTTCAGCTTTGGTAAGTTCATTTTATGTCATATATTTTGTTGATCTTCTGTGTGTTGCCTATAGGCTATTGCTCTGCTGGATCGATTGATATTGTGACCTCGGTGATGAGTGTCTGTGTTTTCCTTATACACCCCCCTCCCCCCCCTCTCTCTCTATCGGAACCATGGATAGCCTACAGCAGGGCTTCTCAAACTCCGGACCACGGTCCGGATCCGGACCGAACTGCAAATCAATCCGGACCGAACCCTGTGTCCCATTATAAAAATGTTAAAAAAAAAAAAAAATTAAAATAAATCTGATTCTGATAAATTAATGTACATCATTGTGTACGCGCGTCTTGTGTCTGACGCATTGTGAGAATGTACGTGCATATATATTTACTTGTGTGCGCGAGCGTGACACGCATTGCAGACCGCAAGTTAACCGCAAGTTTACCTTGACTTTCTAATGCTTCTAATGCCTTTTTTGCAGAGGTTCAAGGCATTGGCTACAGACAAACAGTGCCATTTCTCCCACTAGTTCAAGCCACCATACTGTATGTATGTATTGAATGTGTGTCTGTATACAGGGGCGCCGTTTGCCGACAGGCAAGGCAGGCAAGTGCTTGGACCAGAAGGGGCCCCCCAAAGAAGGTAGATTAAGAAGGTGGCGGCTGGTGGAAAATATTTTAGGTGGGGCTGTGGAAATGGTGATACTAGGGGGCAGCGGCGGACTGGGACTACGAATCAGCCCGGGACTCTCGACCGGCCCACCTCGGTACCGCAAGAAATCACCGCTAGTAGGTGCCGCAAGTCAATACCGCTATATGAGAAGACTGATCAATACCTCCATAATCTTCAGTGTGGTTAGCTATGAATCTTCCAAAACTTCCAAACACCTTGTCCTGGACATAGTTTCTACAGCATAAACTGTGCAACACTACAGTAGGCCCACACAAACTGCAGAACACCGGGGCTTTGGGAACTCTCAAAATTACTTTATTAATTAATTGCTTTTTTCCCCCGTTTTTTTTCTCACGAAACTCTTAAAATGTAATAAACTATTCATGTGTCCTACTCATTTAACGGGAAGAAACGCAGCTAACTGATGATATGAACCATGTTTACCGAAACAAAACACAAGTCTCACAAGAAGCGTCTAAATGAGCCCTGAGCGGAAAAATGCTAACGCACTCTAGGTATAAATCAATCGATATACTTATCGGATATGCACAAACAAGCTTATGCTAACAAGCTGAGATTCCACAGATTCTAGAAATATAAGTATCATTACTGAGCGATCAGAACTCGCGACAGGGGAAGCAAATACAGACATCACACGACGTAGCTTTAGGTAGCAAAACACGGAGATATGCTCACCTTTTGCTGTTATTCTGATCAAAAACGAGAAACGCGGCTGAAGGTTAATCCATAGGTTAATGTGTCTGTCACTTTGAAAAATGATTGATGATCCATAACTCAATTTTTATGTCAAAAACTGAGTTTTCATTAGCTGCTAACGGTAGCTTCCAGAGTGTATGACAGCTTCCTGTTTTGTCTCCTTGGATACGAGTCCAAACAACTCACAGACTGCACCGGGCGCTGACGTAGGCGCCCTGTGACCATCAGATTTGACGACGCTGATTGGCTGAAATTATGTTTCGGCGGCATAGTTTAAAGATAGCAACAGTTGGCTTCTGCTGCACTTGCTGCACTCTCGTCTGGACGCTATGCACAGCGCCCAGACGAGAGAGGGTAATGATACACGGGCAAGGTCAGGCAGGAAACATGTGACTTATCAGTAACTTTAGACATCGTAACACCATTTTAAACGAGATTTTATTGTAGATTATACATTTGACTGATACCAATTATATAATATTTACCTTGTTTATTAAAAATAAAAATAAAAAATATATTTTTTTAATATATATATAGGCTATATATATATATTTTTTAAAATGTGGGAAGAGGGGGGGCGGCGCCCCTATGGGCCGGCCGCCACTATATACATTGACTCGAGTACTGTCTCATTTTAAAGTAGTTTTATAGCAGCAGTATAGTCTATTTTTAAACTGTAAAAGTATTGCTACTTTTACTAAAGTAAATTATCTGATACTTCTTCCACCTCTAGTGTTACAATAACAATTAGCTCTACCGTTAAGGTAACATAAGGGATACATTTGTAACTTATAAAAAACGATTAAAATATACAGCGTAATAGAATAAATAAAGTCTTTTAAATTATACTCATCCCGTCGTACAGAAATAAAAACGTCTTAGTTAGTTGGAGTCTCTCTTCTGTGTAGCTAACTAACGTCGGTTGTGACTACTCCGTGTCCATGGTAACAGCCATGCGTGATGACGTAAAGACGTCTTACGTTACGTGATCTCTTTAAACATGAAACGGGACAGACGATACAATTTCAGGAGGAGGACATTTTAAATGTGAATTTAATACATTATATAATATATGATCCATCAATATTTGTTCTTTAAATGTATTTCTTTATACAGTATATATGTTTGTTTTCAACAGTACTTTTTTGTACTGTATTTGTACCTACAGTATGTACCCCTGATGTGATATCAAGGTGTTGTGTGTATATAATGTTTGATGTAAATATATATTTTCTTGAATAAAGGAGAACAAATATCTATATATATCTATATTGAGAATCAGGAGGCCATAAATGGTCTAAAATCAGGGAAATTACCATTCTGGCCAATAACCAATACCAACCAATAATCCAACATGTGAGAAATAATTGAATAAATAATTCAAAGAAATAACATCTCTTTATTGGATATAGTTTATTCTTCATAGGGATTATTTTTTTAAAACAGTATATTCATTTCATGAAGATACATGACAAAAAACAACATCAAATCTTATAATAATAGTTAAGAAGCTGGAACCAGCGAATATTCAGCATTGTTGCCAGAAGGATGTTTGAGTAACGTAAAACGGTTATAGATAATTTAAGGACATTTGCTTCAAGTTTATATCCTTAATAAAGATGAAAATAATACAATCAATTATTTTCTATTTAAATTATTTGAAGATATTCACACATTACATACATTACATTGTTTGCGGTTGCAATGCAACGGAAACTGATATTTAATTTGTTTAAAAGTTAAAGGTAATCATTTTTATTTAATATCTTAATTTATAATCTAATAATATCTAATCTATCAAATGTCACACAAAAGAGTAAAATGCCTGTTAGATATCCCACAGCCAGAGGGAATTAAAACCTGAAGAAATTCAGTTTATGACCACATAGCACAAAGAAAAGCATTACATCTTCATATTCTGGAAGCTGATTCTCCAATTTTAGGAACATATCTTAAAGTTTGCATCCCTAAAGAAAAGGAGCAATAAACACAATGTTTAACTCATTTGAAGATATTAATAACAGTGAGTAATTGCACAACACATTTTTAGGATCAATTATAAGTTTAAAATGAAGAATTACATATTTTTATGAAAATGACTTTAAAGATGCATTAGAGGTCATCATATTAATTAGTAATAAGATTTCCTGGAATTGCCCTCTATTAAATCTTATATTATTTTGAAATGTCTCATTATATTTTATCTGAAAAAAACATATAAAAAGTCACAAAATAGGGAAAACAAATCCAGTTTTTCGCAGGTCAAGCAGATACATGAACAGTTAAAACCCCAAACATATTAACTTCAAAACCATATATAACAAGAGAAAACATTACAGCTCTTATCTTATCTCGCTACTGATAGATTATTCAGCTCATTGTTGCAGCTGTATTCTGTAACATGAGGACTTTGAGGAAAGAAATACACCTTTCTCTGATAAAAGCCGACACAGCAATTCAGCTTTAGAGCTCATCCCTCTTCTTCTCCTCCTCCTTGTGGAAGACTTTTCCATCCGGCTGCTTCCTCCAGGCCAGTTTGACGTTGTCGTCCAATCCCTGGGCCCTTAGGTTCTTTTTCGCCTGAGACACAAAAACTCATTTTCATTATCGTTCCAATAAAAACAGATGATTTATCTTTAGTTCACTCATCTGAAATGGTAGTTGTTCCCCTTATTTC